CTCATACTTCAAATATATATTTACGTTATCAACATCCCCATCTTATGTGACAAGGTTCATAACTCTAGCACCAATATTTTCAGATTTATCTCCCCTTTGAACTTAGGATTTTCCATAAAAAATATTATTTTTTACTGTTACTTATTTATTTCTAAAGGGATCAACTTCATACTTCAAATATATTTAAGTTATCATCATCCACATCTTATGTGACAAGGTTCATAACTCTAGCACCAATATTGCAAGAATTATCTCCCCATAAACTTAGATTTTTTTAGTAGAAAAATGTTATTTTTTATTATAACTTTTTTATTTTTAAAGGTATCTACCTCAAACTTCAAATACTTATTCCTTATCATCAATTACATTTTATGTGACAATGTTCATAACTCTTGAAGCAATATTTACACATTTATCTCTCTTTGAACTTAGTATTTTCTTTAAGAAATATAATAACTTCTTTACTTTTTAAGGTATCTAACTTCAAACTTCAAATATATATTTCTTATCATTACACAAATGTTGTGTGACAAGGTCCATAACTCTAGCATGACTATTTCTAGAATTATTCCCCTTGATCTTGGAATTTATGTTAACAAATATTATTTTTTTACTATAACTTAATACATAATTATACATAATTGATTTTTCTTTCATAGTTTTGTCCTCCTTACTGCGTCCAGTATTTTATTAGTCGAGCTTTGCTGTCTCCTGTGACAGCTCTTGTTGGTTTTTTATGATGAGGCCATTTTTGGTAGTCAGTGAACCTTTGAAGCTCTTTGAACAAAGTATATAACAGGAATGGTGGAGTAGTATTGATATTAAAATTTGAAAATCGAAATATATTTTAAAGGGGAGATACCTAATCACAGCAAAGTGGAAGTAATGATAAGGCATAACTTTTAAAGAAAAGAGAAATAGCTTAAAGTTATTGGAATTAAGAATTAGGGTGAAAGAACTTCTTGAATAATATTGAAATTCTTGAATAATATAGATCTACATGTGATAATAGTAATAATGAATATATTTAAAAACGCAACACAGGCAAGCCCCGTCTTCCCTATGAGTCTAAGAAATACATATTAAGTTAATAGAACAAATTTAGATTAAATTAATATCAGACTAAACAAATTACATGGAAAAGCATGTTGAAAAATGAACATCTTTAAATCTCATATCATGTGACATTTGAAAATTCAATTCTTTTAAATATCGGTGGTTTAATGGTGGTTTTGATAGCAGATTGGTCTAATTGTAGGGTGGTCTTTAAATATGGATTTGTACTGTATATGACAGAAGACAAATATTTAAAGGATGGAATTTGGAATTCACTAGGGGAGGTGCCAGGGAGACATTAGATATGAAATAAATAGGTTTAAATCTACTCGTAGCTAAACAAGGCTGAGGGGGTTGAGGTTGTTGGTTATGATTGCTATTTCAAAATAATATTGAGTATTATTATTTCATTCACATATACATCAGTAATAATTTTTTGTCAGGTCTGGAAATGGCATGATGCAGCAATTAGTATCAGGAAACTCAGATCCTCTTGTTTAATCTATTAATGATTTCAGCAGATATCTCACATGTAATATCTTAGTGTATTGAAAATCAATGATCCTCAGCTTTGCTGACTAACATGTTCATCAACTTGATGAACTTTCCTTTCAAATTCTAAATTAGACACCATTTGATATTGAGATTTTTAGATCTGCTTAAGCCAGTGACACTGGGGCCATTGATTGAGGGCTTGCATTTACCATCATGCCGTCCATAAACAGACTTATGCTGTTAAATTGAGCCTGAAACATTTTTTTATATTGTCTATGTTCTTTTAAGTTTCCATTTAAGATAACCGTCAAAATGTTTATACCCATGCAACCAGTGCAGACCAAGGTCAGCTGGCTGGCACATCTGTACTGTCTGATCATGGTCTGCACTGTTTGCTGCTCAGTCAGTCATATACATGTACTAGAGTATTTTGAAATTTTCCAGAAAAAGGATGAATGGTTTTATGCAGATTGAAAGATGGACATTCCCATTTATGATATATAGGTGAGAAAGAGTTAATGAATGGCTTGCTGACAGATGGTTCACCTGAGTTATTCATGTGCCTGCCCCTGTAATAATATAACATCTTAGGCCTGAAATAATTAAATGCCTGGTCCACTTTAAAGGGGTGTCTTCATGACTGAGGCAGGAAAGTCTTCCATATTGACTTAATACATTGTAATGTCAATGTGTATACATGTACTTAAATAATGCCCAGTAATAAATATCTGAGATTGTTGGAATGTTGCTATAGTTATGACCTTTACATTGTCAGTGTGACTCAAATTTAGGGGACCATAAAGTGTGAGTCTTTATTTTGAAATGTTTCTAGTTGGTAGTTTAATAAAGGCCATATGAGTTAAGAATTTTAAATATAAGTATGTGTAAGGCTTTTTGAGTTAAGAATTTTAAACATAAGTAAGTGTAAGGCCTTTTGAGTTAAGAATTTTAAACATAAGTAAGTGTAAGGCCTTTTTGAGTTAAGAATTTTAAACATAAGTAAGTATAAGACTTTTTGAGTTGAGAATTTTAGTTCAGATGGCATATTTTAAGACTGTGGCCTAAGGTTCATTTTATACACCTATAAACACCTCCATATTCACCAACAGTTACAAATAGTTGCCCCTTAGGAATGTTAGGTATTATATTAATATTCAAAGGATGCATGTTAAAATACCGGATATTCATGTGCCGTTGACATGTTAGAATTTTAATACTCACCAGTCTGACACCATCAATTTCTTCTATATTACAATGTAATGTAATTCTTACATACTAAGGTCTCATATATAAATAATACATTTTGTATCTGGGGGAGTGCAGCTTTAAGTAAGATGTTGTTTAGATTATATTGCAAGGACATAAATTCTCTCCGCTGCAACTGTGGGAGATCATTTATTTGTTTTGATATAGATATACACAACAGACATAAGATAAGTTATGTTTCAGTCTGAATGTAAACATCAGATTGAAACCAGCAATGAATTATGCAGACTTTTCTCTAAGGGATTTTATTCCAAATGAATACAACAATATTTACTTGTACAAAGATATTTATTGATTGAAATGTGATTTATGTATAATAACCATTTCTGTTATAATATTATTCCACTTACATGTTGCTGTTAATTTTGTGAGTTTTGAGTGACATAGTAACACAGAGTCACTCATTCAACAGTAAAGGTCATATGGGGACTTTCCAGATTTTTTGGTAGTGTGTTGCCTTTTGCACTAATTAATTTGGTACATATGGACAGCTGAGTTAAGACTCACCAAGTCTTTCCTTTTATGCATGTCCGCACTTCCATGAGCTCTATCAGGCAGACCCACTAAAATGTCAAGGGGTCATGGTCATCATGACCCAATTACCTAAAGTATCAAATATTAACAAATTGAAATATTAAAGTGCTTCCATGCAAAGCAATGCACCTTGATGGGCTCTGTATGTCAGACCCACTTAGAGGTCACAGTCATGGTGAAAGGTCAAGGTTACCACAGTATACATGGCTTTCATTAATTTTGAATGTTAACTTGTTTTAACTTTAATAATTATAAAATGATGATATTTTTTAGGCATTTTCTGTTACAAATATATAGCCTTATAACAACCTTGCTTTACCATAGCAACAACAATTTTATTCTATGATAGATATATAATCATCCTTGCTTTACAATTGCTTCTATAATTTTATTTTGCACACAAATTTCCTCAAATTTCTTCAATATATAAAATCTTTTGCCAGTATATCACCATTATAAACTATTTCTGTCACTGATAAGAAAATTTTAAGAAAATGCAAAGGAAGACCTTTTGTTAATTCAATATGAAGGCTCCTTTTGTATTGACTCCTCGGCTCATTTAAAAAAACCTAACAACACATATCTTTTTGTATGATTCTTCATCCTTGTAATAACCTTAGAAACATATACATAATTGAACCGCATCACGACAAAGCCAACATAGTGGGTTTGCGACTAGCATAGACCAGACCAGCCTGCGCATCCACGCAGTCTGATCAGGATCCATGCTGTTCGCTTACCAACCCTATTACAAGTGGAGAAACTGACAGCGAACAGCATGGATCCTGATCCATGGTCTGGATCCATGCTGGTCGCAAACGCACTATGTTGGTTTTGTCATGACGCGGCTCATATTATCTTAATGTTGTAAAAACCATCAAGACATAGACATACCAATAAAAACTTGTCTGTCAGTGATTGACGTAGTTTAAATTATAAATAGTGCATTAAAATACACTTTGCATATATAATGATGCTAATTTTAGCTGTGGTATTTATTTGATTACTTCATTTAAAAGTTTTGTGTCCTCGTTGTCTTATACATGCCTAAAACATAAATTTCACAATTTATTTTAGGCTTTATGTCATGGGCTTTGCTACTTCAGAAGTAAATAGTTAAGTAGTGTAGAAATTAAATAAAAGTTATTAAATACATATTTCTACTTCTAATAAGAACTAACTATATACAGGCAGGGTATTATTAATGAATGTTCCTAGCTCTAAACTATGTACAGGCAGAGTATTACTCCCAGCAGTGGCCTACTAGTCAAGGTGTAATACTTATTATAACAATAAAACTTTATTTAAAGAGGCAACATAGTTAGGCATGCCCAGTCTTCCCTAAGAGCCTCCATTAAATGGATTGTGGGGTTGAGCTCTAATCATATATCGGCCCCTTTTCTCTCCATTATTTGAGAGAACTTCACTTGATTTATATCAGACTTATTGAATAATGTTTCAGTATAAATTTCTCTTCCCAAGTAGGTGATAACTTCTTTACATAAAATGCCCGAGTCTGTAAATGATTGTTATGGTTCTTCGACCAAATCTGTATTAAAATGGTCTTTTATATGTCTTATGGTAAGAAAAGTATGCTCAAGCATTGATGGTTTTAAATCAAAATATATATTTTTTCTTCTCTTTTCCAGGAAAGCTCCCTGACCTCTTGATAGAGGAAGAGAGAGGTGAAGGTCACTCTTTTGGGTTCAAATCTTTAGAACGTTCAAAATCAGAGGCAGCACTTCTTCAGGGAAAACGATCCCATCACCAAAGCTCGGGATCTTCACAGGATAGCGGTGATTTTGGTGACCTACATAACATTTCTGAATGCTCTAAAGTTTATTTTGATCTTTCGAAAGGTGAAACTTTTGAAGAACACACGGGTAAGAATGTCTTTTTCGCACCATCAAGGTCAAACTCTGGACGCTTTTTAGAAACTATTCATCAAAACGAAGAGTTACGTGTAGATGAAATGACCTTGAACTATAGGGATCATAGGTCAATCTCTGTTGGAAGTACATCCAGTATGGACAGTATGGACGGGCGGTATTATAGAGCAGACGTTGATGGTGGTCAAGATGGCGCCAACTTCTTGGCAACTTTTGAAGCGCTTTCAACTTCTTTGAAAGAGAAAATAACAAAACTAGTCACATGTGAAGAAGAGGATGAGCAAATTGAAGTCCTTAATGATATTAATCTTTTAATTGATCAAGCGTGGTCAACACCCACTGTTGGTAGAGATTTAGCCTATGGCCTTAGTGCTATTATTAACCAAGATAAAGCTTTAGATGCAGTTTTAAAATATTGTCTACAAGGTTCAAAATCGCTTCTTGTTTCTTCTATAAAAGTTCTGGAACAAGTGTTAACCACTGATAATAGAGAATATGTGGCGGCTAATGGATTAGATTCACTTGTTCAAATGTGTTTGAAATATAAAGATGATCGAGAAATTGCTCAAATGACGACAGGAATTCTGGAGAGCATGTTTAAGACATCGGAAGACACGTGTCAAAGACTAATTGACCTTGGAGGTTTAGAGGTTATATTGTATTGGTGTAGATGTCAAGATCGACTTACATTAAGGCATTGTGCCATAGCTTTAGCTAACCTGTCTCTGTACGGTGGACCTGAAAACCATAGCCAAATGATACATCTTAAAGTTCCTGAGTGGTTATTTCCCTTGGCATTTAACGAGGATGATATAGTTCGATATTATGCTTGTTTAGCTATATCTGTGTTAGTTGCAAATAAACTAGACAAGAAAATTGAAACAGCTGTCCTGAATTCAGGAACTTTAGCTCTTGTACTCCCATTTATAACAAGTCATACACCCATGGAATTTGCGCAGATGGACCTCTGGCATCGCCATGGACGGTCACATGAATGGTTAGAAAGACTGGTTCCTGTTCTTACAAGTAAAAGACAGGAACCACAGGCTCTTGCTGCATTCCATTTTGCAATGGAAGCTGGGATCAAATCTGAACAAGGAAGAAAAAAGGTACTCAATAAGATGACTTATTGAAACAAATATAGAATTATCTTTAAATAAATTTTCATCCTTTTGTTCAATAAAGGCTAGCGCAACATCATACTTTTCCTTTCTTTGCTTAATGTGAAATATATTTAATATGTAACATTCACACCTTTTTAATCTGTAGTGTAATCAGCTGTCTTGCATTGTCTATAATACAGAGTCCATGGAAGAAAAAAACTATTGCAAAATAAAAACAATCACCCCAAAAAGCACAGCTTAAAACAAGCTAGAGAAAACAACTCTTTTTGACCTTCTATTTAACAAAATCAATGTTTTTTAATACTCTGTCATATTTTCTTCTTGCCTTCTAGATTTTTACTGAAATCGGAGCTATTGAACCCTTGAAGAAGGTTGCAAGTACAAGCCCAAATCCAACAGCCTCTCGTTTAGCTGCCGATGCCCTGAAAATACTAGAGGAGGAGATACCACATAGATTGTCTCAAAATATCCCACTCTGGTGTAATGAAGATGTTATATTCTGGGTTTCACAGGTGAGCATAGGATTTAGTTTCAAGACTTTGGTGAATGTAAAAAATTTGCCAATGACATTATTTCATTAACATGACATCAAACTTGTATTAATAACTGTTCTAACCCTTATTCCATTAAATCTTTGTAATAGAGATTTCCTGCTGTGCCTTTGAAACTGTCCATTAATTCCTTAAACAGAATAGAGACTTGTCAAACAATACAGGCATGTGGACTGAGACCTGGTTAAGTGTAGCATAAACAGTTTTAAATCATTATAAGCACCTCTTTATTTCTATATAGAAATACTTATATAAATAGTATTGGATCATCAGAAGGCAGACTGTATATCATATTAGGTAAGGGATAAAATTAATGATAAAGTAACTGATGGGATCTAGTTTACAGAACGTCGGTGTGCCCATTCGTGCCTGATATAATGTATGGAAGGGCACCTGAGGTCTTCTCCACCTATAAAGATTGTCTATACTGTGTCGATGCGACGTAAAACCCAATCAAACAAACAAACTGACGGGATGAGGTTTGAGTGCAGGTTGGGGGGTTGGAGGGTTTGGGGGTCATTGTGGTAGAGGGGATTAATAAAGTTGCTTTCCTCAAACCACTTGCAAGGTCAGTGATTTTACTAGAGTGCCACAAATGGACAGTTGAAAAGTGCAAATGTGATAAACAAAAAAGTTAATCAAGATTTTTAAATCTGATGGCCAATTTATCCATTTATCAATATTTTGAATTAATTTTCTGTAGATAGGGTATTGTGAATACATTCCACAATTCAAGAAATGTGAAGTTGACGGTGATTTATTACTGAGAATTACAGAGGATGATCTCATAGACAGTATCAACATGAGCCCATCACTAGCGAGGAAAAGGTTAGTCATGTATTGAATACAAATACAATAACCAAGGGTTAATGGAATTATCTCTAGCTATGCTCTGTCAAATGTGTGATATGTTTTGACTTTTGTCTTAGGTTAGGAATTTCCCTGAGTGTGCTTCAGTCAATAAAAACTGAGTGATTCTTCAAGTAGCAAACAGTTTGACTTCATTAGACATGTGACCCTGAGATCTTTATAGAAGTTGACTTCATTAGACATGTGACCCTGAGATCTTTATAGAAGTTGACTTCATTAGACATGTGACCCTGAGATCTTTATAGAAGTTGACTTCATTAGACATGTGACCCTGAGATCTTTATAGAAGTTGACTTCATTAGACATGTGACCCTGAGATCTTTATAGAAGTTGACTTCATTAGACATGTGACCCTGAGATCTTTATAGAAGTTGACTTCATTAGACATGTGACCCTGAGATCTTTATAGAAGTTGACTTCATTAGACATGTGACCCTGAGATCTTTATAGAAGTTGACTTCATTAGACATGTGACCCTGAGATCTTTATAGAAGTTGACTTCATTAGACATGTGGCCCTGAGACCTTTATAGAAGTACATGTAGTTTGTAATTCTTGGTCATATTAACTTTTTATAGCAAGTACATTTGGTAACTTTGGACTTTAATTATTGCAAAATTTTCATAATTAAGACATATAAATTTAATTAATGTCTCAATTAACTATAGATTTATGCGAGAGCTCAGAGATCTGAAGATATCATCAGAATACACGTCATGTGACCCGAGCAAGCTTGACGATTGGCTGAAACAGTTGTCTCCAGAACTAGGACAGTATACATATCAGCTTCTGTTATCCGGGGTAGATAAAAATTTCCTGTTTCAAATGTCTGAAGAGCACCTGAGAGAAGACTGTGGTGTAACTAATGGGGTACATCGAGCCAAAATTTTACAATATATAAGAGGTGAATATTAGATATTTTATCTTGTATTTTTTATATAGCTCTATCTATGTCATTGCTAAGAATTATGTTTTATTAGACAATCATGTAGAAAGCACTCGGGTACTTCAATTTGTAGAGCTACAGAAGAGTTATCTGAAGTCTGAGGTTAAAAGGTCAGGTTGTGTATTTTTCTGTCCATTGTCAGATTTAAATCTTATTTTTTGTAAGTCACAGAAATTTTAATCAATACACACTACAGAATAAATCCAAATCATGCAAGACAATGAGTTATGAGTGCTTAGCTATTTTAAAATTTATAAAAACTTTCCGACACAGTCTCTATGTTTTTTATCAGTCTAATTAAGTATATTTGTTAGATATTAAAATTAACACTAAGGATTGTTTTATAGTGTTATATGTTTTTGTTTTCTAGAACATTGTATGCACCGGATGTGTTCAAAGTCGAGTGTTGACGTGACTGATGCCCCAGACACTTACACTGATGTTAAAACAATAGATGCCTTTATAAGTTATAGAAGATTAAATGGGGCCCAATTAGCTAGGTAAACAAGCATTGAATTGATTACGGTATTTATTGGAATGAAAATGATTTCAGTTATTTTTCCCTGATCTATTCTTCTTAGATTAAATTTGTTTTTTTTTATATTCTGAATCAGAGTTTGACTACCTTGTGACACTAGTACTGGTTAGTTCAAGTAAGCAGATTGGTTTGGCCAAGTGGTTAAATGCTTCAGACAACTTATCTAAGGATTGCTGGCCATGTGTGTTCAAATCATGTTGGGAGAAAGTCTTGAGCAAGAAACTATACACTTACTGCTTAATGCTGGTTGATTCTAGGAATGTTTTCGAGAAAATGTCTTTAATCTTCCAGCTTCTTGCAAAATTACACTAGAAATAAATTGTTTATAATAAGTTTTAGCCTAAATTCATTATGACCCAACAGAAATATGTTTTCCAAAAAATCAGTACCCTTTTTTTTCTGATAAACTTCATTGAAAGTGTGAAAGCTAGTGTTGGAACTCTAGAGTTCCCTTCCTGGAACTACATGTAACCAGTATTGTTGTTTTAACAGAAAAAATTGTCAACATTGTTCAAATCCATAATAACCCAGATAAAGAGGAAGCCATCTTTACCACTAGTCCACTGCTTCCATTTAAATTTTTGATCTAATCAGAAAAGGCTTGCACGCGATAATAAAACATTATAAACATTAATGTATGTCCTATTCATTTTAGCACAATTTAAATATTTTTTCAGTCTTTTGAAAGTTCATCTTCAGCTAAGAGGGTTCTCCGTTTTTCTTGACATTGAACGATTGAACGCTGGAAAATTTGACGAGGGTCTACTGACTAGTATTGCACAGTCGAAAAACTTTATTCTCGTTCTTACAGCAGATGCTTTAGAGAGGTGTAAAAATGATCATCAGAAAAAAGACTGGGTTCACAGGGTGAGTCACAAAGAGACTAAGTTTTTAGGGTAGCTTTTAGAGATACATACAGTACTTAATTAACACATTGGAGAGAAATACTTGAATTACAGAGTGAGTGAAGCAGAAAAACTCAGTGTTAAAATTTGTGTGACTTGGGACCTAATTTGTAGAATATGAGATTGCTTTGGATTAAGAGTTTAAAACTTGGGCAACCAGGTTTACAGGAGTAAAGAGGAAGAGAACAAGTTTAACTTGGATGGAATAATTAGTTTTAGAGATTTCAATATTAAAATCAGATCTGTACTGCCAATACATTATCTTCAGTTATTGCAGATAGCTGTCAAGGAATTACATCTTTTGTTCATAGATATATGTTCACATAAATATTTGTGTTTTCTTTAAACATCATTGTTGTATCTACCTTCATTGTCTGGAGAAACTGTGATATTACATCAAACTATGTCTCTGTTTTTCTCATTATTATAGTTTACAGCAGATGACTTTATTTCTCATTGGAGGGAATGGTTCCATTTTCTTTACAACAATTATTTATTGACAAATTCATCAAGTTTTCTCTTATGTTTCAATTATTTCTAAGAGAAAATTTCTATCAAAGAGCTAATAATAGAAATAAATTACAGACATTATGATACCCAATAAAACAACATTTTATTACTTTCAGGAAATTGTTGCTGCGTTAGAAAGTAAATGTAATATTATACCGATAACTGACAATTTCGAATGGCCGTCAGGAGATACCTTACCAGAAGATATCAGGCAGATTTGTTTCTTTAATGGAATCAAGTAAGTAATGATATTCCATAGTGTCAACCAAATACTGCAAAATCATTGTTATTCGTGAGGCACTAATTTCTGTGGTTTTTGTAGATTTGCCATGAAATTATGATCCAACAAAATTTCATTTTGTCTCATGTAACATTATTTTGCATAAAATTATTTGCATTTTACATTTTTTTCTTCAAAAATAGACAATCCATGTATTTAAGAACCAACGATAATGTACTTTGTGACAAAAGCACAAAATTTCATGCCCACAAAAATTCACAGTATTCAGGAAAAAAAAAAAAAATCTTATCTATGGATGATCTTTGTATTTCATGAGGGAAATAATTAGCGGATTTGTTTTCCTTATGAAGGAAACGTCACACACTTTATTTCTTTAATTTAAGCCTGTAATGGTATATAAGATGAACACAACTGTTTTTTTTTTTTGGTTTTTTTTTTTGTGGAAAGAAAGACAAAATTAATTCTTATAATGGAAGAAAAAGAAGTTTCTGTTACGATTAAAACATTCAATTAAATTTGTCTAAATGTAAGAGGCTAATTTGTTTCTCCTAACAGAATTAAATTCATATTTCAGTTGTGAAAGAAATGAAATAAGTTTGCTTTTGTTCCTTTTATGTATTTAACCTGTACATTACAGCAACGATAATAATAATCATGAAATAGACCATAAATTTTTGGGAATTTTATTACTCTACAGTGAGCATCTGCACCAGAAAATTGGTAATTTGCATTATCTTTAGGGAAATACCATAGATATCATTGTGTGTTACAGAAGAATATTGTGCAGTTTGGAGTGAGTTTGTAATTATGTTAAATAATATCACCATGGAGACATAGCAAGGAATAATACAGCACTAGTATAAGAAATATGATGAAATATAGAAAAAGATCTGATGTGGTTTATTTTGCACATTCAGAAGTGTAATTATATATTTTATCACGCTTCACCATATTCTCCAATCAAACAGATAGGGTTGTCAAGTGCATTAATACACCATATATGCACAGCATAAAAAACAAATGCTAACACTCACTACAACGTCAAATATTACATCAATTAACCAAATGATGTCAGGAAAATTACTTCTACGCTCAATGTAGTTAGCATATTTTTATCAATTCTCTTTTTTAATTCTTTTTTATTAGTATGTTACAATGGAAATAGATATTAATTTTTCTTGCATTATTATAATCTAAGTATTATATTATAATGCATGGTTTATCATTCAAATTCTTTGTAATAAATCAGTCAGGTCTATCGGCCTTCATGATTATATTCCTGCACATTTGAACTGGAACTGCGCATTATTTTACAAAAATGCTCAAAATTGATATCTGAGTATTTCCTATATATCTACTGCTTATAGTCTTTACCACTGTATCATAAGTCACAATGGTGTTTCAATGCTACTGTTGATTTAATGCAGGATAATGCACAGTAATGTGTTCTAAAAATATTTAAATATTAGGATAAATTAGGGATAATTAACTTTACAATTATAGAATATAATTTATTGCTTATTTATTTCAGATGGATACATGACTACCAAGAGGCATGTGTTGATAAATTGGAGAGGTTCTTACGGGGTGAAAAGAAACCTTCCCTCCATGGCCTTGGATCCTCATTTGAAGATAATTCTCCCCATAATGCACCTCATGGTCATGATCCTGTAGTGAGGCCCAAAAGAGGGCAGATGCAAGGAATGGGGGCCTCATTCGAGGACTGTCTATGAAGAACTATAGACAATAGAATCTAAAAATTTTGTTGTTTATCTGTGATTCATGTACATGGAGAAGAGTGCTTGTATTAATGCAATGCTAGAAGCTGAAATACTAGTACTTGGTCAATTCTGGAAGTTTAACTAATTGTACTACGCAATGAGATATTGTGCTATTTTGTGTGTGGGCAATATCTCCCCTCTACATAGAAGCAAGATTCTGACCTAGAACAAACATATCTCAGAATCTAGCTTTGGCACGTCAATATATTTTTACCAACAAATCCGGTAACATTGAAAGGTCTGATTCAGCACTGCTAAGTAAATATATTTTGGCTTCTCTCATTTGTTTGGTGTCTGTAAAGCCTCGCCCGACTTCACTCATAATTGTCTCTTCAGATTTTTCAAACATATTTACTAGTACATTGAAATTAAATTTGCAGGCTGCTTATGTCATTGCTAAATGGTGAGAGCAATGTTGCACAATAATATTCAGCTGTTGCTTTTAAAAAAAACTAACATATTTAAGTTCCAGAAAGTTATCAGTTTCAAATTTTTATTTATTTTTTATTAGACTTTATATCCTATTTGTTCAAATGTAATAGCTGAGTCTAAGATAATGTTGTCTGGTAAGCCAAATATGTTTGTTATAGCTCTTTTCATGTGCCAATATTGGACAGAATGGTATGTTTGATGCTTTCTAAAGGTTTTTAGGCATTTTGTGTTGTAAAATGGGCAAAAAGCTTCATTGTAAAATGGGCAAAACGCTTCATTTATGGTGTACTGGTACCACAAATGGGACAAAAGTTCAAATGGGACCACATGAGAGGGTGAAGATTGTTTAACCAGAAGGAGCTACATTTCTACATTTCTGTAAATAGAACAGAAGAAAAAAAGACCTCATACACTTATTTTCCTATGGGGATATCCTTACATTTTCTTTCAGAATTATTTTATCAGGCTAAGGTTTGGTCAAGAAGAATTTGAATGTTCCTCTAACATGTTGTCTAACTGTACTGTACTCTAGTATAATACTGTATACTTTACTTTTATATTTTTTAAATGTTTCTTTTTCACAGTTTCATTTTGTTAACAATTTTTTAAACATTTACTTTTTAATATGGAAACATTTTATACAGTGACTCTTTAAAGATTGTATTTTTATTACCTTTACAGAGACAATTTCCTTATATTCTTTACCTTAAAAAAGGGTAGTGGATACCCAAAACTAGTAGGCTTTTAATAAATTATAAACTTGTTTGGAAGTTGTCATGTGTGACTTTCATATTATTTACTGTAGTTTAAATAATATTAAGATATTATAACAATTTATAAAGTGAATCTTTAAAGATTGTATTCTTATTGATATTACTTTTACAGAGCATCCTATTGAGGGAATAAAACATAAATTAGCATACAATTGTACTACCAGTATTCTTTTTATTTACCTATGAAAATATCAAAAAAATTGTAACTCTGTATGTATGTGGCAAAGGGGCAACTTTACAAATCGTATTACATATTTAGTCAAAACAGAGTATCTTCCCTTGTTAATGTCAAAATATATTTATGTTATAGTATTTCAGAAGGGATATTAATTTAAATGAACATTGTTGTTTGTTTCTTTAATGTTTGTTGTATTTTACCACCTGAAACCAGATATTTTATGGAAGTAAATTGTTAGCAATTTTGTGCAATAAAACTGTCACCAGAATCAAAAGCTCCAGTTATTTTTTATGTCTCCTTTTAATTAATCTTGACAGGATAATTGTCACGTCAGATAAAGAAGGAAGAAAATTGTGGTGTATTTTTGTGGCATTACAGTGGAATCATCTATATAAATGAGTGATGCTCCCTAACTGTATTTTGACATAGATACCCCCACCACCCATTCAATCATTGAGTCAAAATTATTGATTTTCTAAAATGTGTATCGTTTATTGATCAACAGAAAAATGTCAACAATACATCAATATCATTTCTATCAATGACAGCTCTAAATGAGCTGTGCCATGACAAAACCAACATAATGGGTTTGCGACCAGCATGGATCCAGACCAGCCTGCGCGTCCGCGCAGTCTGATCAGGATCCATGCTGTTCGCTATCAGTTTCTCTACTTGTAATAGAGTTTGAAAGCGAACAGAATGGATCCTGATCAGACTGCACGGATGCGCAGACTGGTCTTGATCCATGCTGGTCGCAAATGCACTATGCTGGTTTCGTCGTGACGCGGCTCAAATCTCAGTAACCTTGACGTCATGACCTTATCGATCAAAATCTCTATCATGTGTGAAGATGTCAATGCAAATTACCTAAAATAAAAGTATTGAAATATTCAGCTCGATAAAAGAAGGGGCTATAAGGACAGAGGTAATGTCAAACTGCAACTTATATTAATCACTTTCGAGTCTGCTTCCTGGAACCGAACAGTACTGGTATCTAATGAAGAAACATGGTCGTGACCTGATTAGGGATCAAACCCATGATCCCTGGGTTGAGAAGCAAGAGGATGCTTGGAAAAAAATATTGTTAAAACCATATGAAAACTAAACTTTTTTATTCAATTTTTTTCTTTTTATTTTATGTGGACAATCATCCACAAGAATCTATCAATTTTTGTAAGATTTGTTTCTGTCCATAAGCAGTATATAATGAATATTTTTGTCTTGTTGATAGTAAAGGTGACTTTAACTTTTCTTCATCCTCTGTCAGTGTTGTACTGTATTTCTGTAGACTTAGTTCTGAGCACCTGAAAATTTAGGGATAGCTGATAATTGTAACACTGTTTTTAGTGTAACCTAACAATTCTATTAATCTAAAGACGAAATCCTGATGGTCACCCAACACAGGAAAATTTAAAATGCTCGGTTTGAGCTAAGTTACGGTCAATCCCCCAAGCACAGGCTTAAGCAGAATTTAAAATTTAGATATAAAATAGTGTGTAATTTAGAATTTACTACCATCCACAGATATGTTCATATGGCAGTGATCATGTAATATTTTCTCAGGCTACAGTATCTAAAATCTGATGTAATATACAGTCAGGTACTGTACTCTTGAAAATCCTTACTTATGACTGCCAATCAGTAAGGTAATTTTGAGAACAAATACAGAAGCCTGTATAAAGGAATTGAAGAGTTTTGCATATTTTTAAGATTAAGACTGGTTTATGCTTGCATAAAAACTCCCTATTTTTTGTCAAATCCCCCTATTTGGGTGCTGGAAATATGACATGTTTGAAACATAGTTTGAGCATTATCTTATTCAAGTAAAACTTTACTAGATTTAAATATATTTCCGAAATAAAATTATTTTACCCAAAAAAGTATTAGCTGACATCATACAGTACATCTTTAACACTTATTAAAAAAGAAAATAAGTAAAGTTAACAACAAAAGGATCTACTGTACAAATTCAATTTAATGAACATGTCAAACATCAAACATACTATCCGTATTCCTAATTAAGTCAATAAAAATAACTGAAATTAATCAAATGGCCACTCTGTATTAGTATTTCTTTTTTACTAAAACTGTAAAATCTCAATGAAAATTTATAACAATTGTCTTACTTTTGAAGAACACTTTTCCAATTATCTGGAAGGCTGTTGAAACATTCTGAAATAAATAGTTTGGAGATTATGGTTAATCCACGTGTTGTAGGTTACATGCTGCTTTCTTAAAACCCATTACAAACAATATATTTCACTGTGAAAGGCAATGATTCTAGCCACGGCTCGTACATATATAGCAAATAATCAAATGAAGAAATTCTTTTTGATATCAAGTACTTCAGCTATAATAAAATGGCTACAAATATACTGACAATATTTTCAGTATTGATTAGGTATCACAGGATGGTCTAAAATGTGCTAAATGTTTTATATAATCATAGATTTTTTTTAACCCAGTTCACAAGCAAAAAAAAATCAATCTAAGCTACACTTAAATCAGCCACTTCAATATTATTCTAACCAATTTGATGACTTGTGTCATACAGTCACACCTGGGAACAGAGGCAATCAATAGGGCAGACTGAACATGACCTTTATAGACAAGTGTTTTTTATTTGAAGATTAATCTGTTCTTTGTTACAATCAATGAAGGTTTGTCTTTGTCAAACATATGTCTTTATTTACAGTGTGCTCTTTATTTATGGTTGGTATTTAATACAGGTTTGACTCAAGTCCTAAATCATTTTTACATTATATAGACACATAGATTTGTATAAAAATCTACTGACTAAACTCTAGTGAAATATCCTCATCATCACTTTCCCAGCCATCATCTGTCAATTCTTCTAAAGCATCTTCTGATTCTTCACAACAAATCTAAGAAAAATTCAAAACACAGAGCTGAATGAATAATCTTTACGTGAAGTTTAACTAAACTTAATTCTGAAAGACTTGGTATGTGCACCAGCATATTAAAGCACTAGCAATCTGTAATCACCTCTGTCAGGTATATACAAGATGTTTTTTTCACAAGACTGTTTACAGAGATATAAATAAATCATCCCTTAAACAACAAACAATAATTGTCTGCATGAATACAGCAAGCAATTTCTATAATAAAAACTCTCTTTGATGGGGAATACTATAAAGTAGGAAAGGCACTTTTTCTTCTCAAGTTTTATATTGCACAAAAAAATGTAAAAGTCATACTAGGACAACTTTCCAGCTTGTATTATTATTTTAGACACAAGTGGGCATATGAGTAGAACCACTAACATTAGATATGTCAGCTGTAAGTGCAACCCAGTCAGCTATACAAGATAGAGGTTAATTTCCATTTCCAGTATTTTTTCCGCCCTTACATATTCTGAGCTCAGAGACAAAGAAAAATATAAATACCTTTAATAAAGTCTTCATTTCCTGCTCTTCTAAAACACCATCCACACCTACTACAACATTTGCATCATTTCCAAACATATCCTACCAATGCAACATGCAAAATGTACTTGTATTAATCATTTTAAAGTGATCCACACAGATAGATTATGTCCCTTTAATAAAAATTAGTAGATGTGAATTACATTTTTATATTTAATGATAACAATTTCAACAAACAATAAAGACAATGGTCATAGGTGTTTATCAGCCTCCCAACCTAGAATCAGAGGGATCCAGGTCTACCAATGTCATATTCCTCAAACTTTCTTAACAAATAAATATGCAGACATTTTTTATTGTATTAATTTCACAGGGGTCATCAATGTAATTTTTGCAAGATAACCTTTCCATTCTTTTTTTCAGTACAATCCATTCTATGAGCAGTCGGCAAAAATGGCATGAACGAATTTGGTAAACAAAACTTTTTTTCAATTTGCCCTTTTAATTTTTTTAAGACAAATTTTTTATCATATTTGTTATACAGTTGGAGATTAGGCCATTTTTTTTTATATTTTAATGGTTTTGAAATAAACAACTTAAGCTTACATTGATCAGATCAGTTTTCTTCTTCAAGAGGTCTGCTGTATTAAATTTTAACTGTTTTGAAGCCTCTATTATATCTGTCACTAACACTGTTACCTAAAAATAATACATAATCAAACATACATTATGAATAATGTCTAAAACACTTGCATAAATCACTGACAAAGAAACATGAAATATTGTCAACAATAGACAGGTTCTTAAACCACTGGAAGTACAAATCATCATCTTAGTGCAGTAACAGAATAAATTCTTCTAAATTTAATAGGAGTTCATCAGTTATTGCACTTAGTTGATGAAATGGACTCTCGTGTAGCATACTTATAACAACTATAGTCTGGGCTTAATTCAGTCAAGAACAATAAGGATGATTTTTAATTTTTGTTGAGAGAAGATGAATTTGCAACAAAGAAAAAATGTAAAAATCAATCAAAGGATCATTTATATCATGGCAATAGTCAACATTTATTTTAGTTTATAAACATTTTTCTTTTTATTACCTCAATCAGACCTTAAAATGATCTTCAGGTAAATACAACAAATCCTGTCAATTAATTATAACTCTTTAACACATATTCAAAGGATTTGGAATTATATACTTCAACAAAAATCAAATTTCAATAAATTAAGAGTATTTCCTACAATTTCTTTTTTCATAACTTAGAGACATTATTTGATCATAAATATCTAAACAAACTTCATTTACCCTATACCTGCTGTATTTATTGAATGTACTTGTCCATCTTCCAGTTTTGAAACTGTCCATTATCATTTTTAGGGATATAGAGATAAATATAGCCAACAGTATAGAACCTGGTCAAACCATGAGGATATGCAGACCTGCCTGGCTGTTTTATACTGGTAAAAAACGTCATTCTACTTAGTTTTAGAGCTTACTGCTGTATTAGAATGATACTTTCTTCAAGTTTATTAAAGTATAAAAGTGTTGAACTGGACCATTTGTCTTCTTTCACAAAATATTTTATAAAACAATCTTACACTATCCCAGTGGTTGTTTGGATACTCCTCAGCAAAACCATACATGTGTAGAAGGTGTAAGTTTGCCAGTTCTCCATATGTATTATATACTTCCTCCCCCTGAAATTATTTAGTAATAAAGCAAAATGTCATTATAAGATAGCATAGTTGTACTAACTCTTATTATATACAGTTGTGACAAATCTAGCATGAAATATATTAGCATATTTATCTAAATTTTACAATATTCTGGTTTCAGTTTATATGATTTTTCAAGAACAAGAACATGTTTGACATCTGTAACAGAAGTCCTTTCATTATCAATGCATAAAACTTATAAAAGCCAACTTTACAGTCACTAAATTTATATACCTTACCAGATTTATAACTTCTAACATCCAAAGGGAATTAACATGCCAACATCAAAACAATACGTTAACCTGAAATATGATTTAGCATTACATAAAAAGTGATCAAAGTTTGTTAACAGGGCTGTCAATATGTACAACTCTACCTTTTTGATATCTTTTACAGCAACCATCTTTAATGCCTCCTTCTCAAAGTTAAGGTGGGCGTTATTTTTTGCTATGTGATTCAAAATGTCTGCCATAGGAACCATCATAGGTGGGGGATTCCCAGAATCCTCTTCTTCCTCATCATCATCCTCTTCCTGTTGAGCATGCTCAGTGAAGCTGTATGCCATCACAAATGCCACCATCTTTTTGTAAAATTCCAAATCCTCACAAACTTGACTGTAAGGAAAAATAAGAAATGTTTCAATCAATTTCCAGTTATTCAATCCCGTATGTTTGATAATTCAGAGCTTCATCTTCATCCATGGATATAAAATGTTACATTTTGTCTTTGATAACTCTTTCGCCTTTCAGCAGTGTCATTTTTAACTTCAAAACTTTAGCTTTTCCAACAATAGAAGTGATATGTCAAGTTTCTCACACTTTAAGTCATATCTCTGTGGTCTGTCCACCTGTCTAGCATTCCTGGTTTACTAACCAGTAATTATTACCAATTTCTCTGTGAGTGACCAACCACTTATCCCTAATGATTTATTGAATAAACAGTGAAAAAAAATTAACATTAGACTATATGTCCGAGATCATTTGTCGCCAAGAAATTTTGTCTTGCTGTGAATCAATCAAATCAGCAATTAACTGGTGAAAAGACATCGCACATCATGATAATTTCAAGAACAATTAACCACCTGGATAGAACCACTGACCTTCTATTACATACATGGATACCTTCAATATAAAATTATGCTATAAATTAAATATTTTTACACAAGTTTAAGCCCATGGCTGTGTTATTATCAAAAATAGAATATTGAAAATACAAAGTTCCAAACCTGAATTTATTTTTATGTTTTCTAACAAATGGAAGAACAACATCTTTGAATTCCTTTTCTATATTTGTTAGATCCTTGGTAACAGCCTCATCTACCCCTGTACCTTCTAACAGATCCTTTCTTTCTGCACTGAAACAAGATAATCAACTATCAACAAAATAATATTGCTGATTAACATTGAGAGCTCAGTATAATACTATATGAACTACAAGTGTAGATCAGTGAAACTGTAAACACAATGCTAATGAGGATCCATGCTGTTTGCTTACAAACCCTATAACAAATACAGAAACTGAACAGCATGGATCCTGATCAGACTGCGCGGATGTCATGGCGCAGCTAATATATTAACATTTCAATTTGTTAGAACAGTGTGTGACTGAGCAGAATTGATTTAACTATGAAAAAAAATGTTTAAGAAAATTCTCCAAGCTATGTCACTGATTTTATTTTGCATTTGTGAGTAAACACCAACAAAAACATAAGAAACAATCACCTTGGCCAGAACATGGGTAAATCAAGCTCCTTGAAATCTGGTACCAGGTCTAGGTATGGTCGCCAATGTGAGGTAGGATTATTATACTCATACATCAAGGCAATAAGAAGTGGTACCCAACCACTGCTACCCTGTATACACTCAACTTCTAAAATAAATGATTGTGTAAAGTTGTAATTGATTGATTTTCAAGTAGATAACAGAGACAGAAGTTATACAACTTTATGCAACTATTTAAAGTGTTACAGTTCGGCAGAGTAGCACACTCATATTTACAATACCTTCTGTGAAAGGAGTAGGAAAATCTGAACAAACCAAAGTAATAATATGTCCATATGAACATACAATTGATAAATTATTAAGAATATGTAAATGAACATTTAACAACTTAAGCAATACAATGTGTGGTATACTAAAATAAAGATATTTATATTTCTTCAACTTTTGACAAAAAACTTAAATGTATGTTTTATAATGTATAATAATGTCACACAAACTAGCTTGGCTGTATTCCTAATATATACATGCATGTCATTGTTGGAAGATTGTATATGGACATTGATTGAGCACCCTGAAATATAATATTACCTTTTTTAAGGCAATTAGAAATGGCACAAGTATCTGGAGAGATCAGGCAGGATCTAGGGATCTGAAAGAGGACTTCTCCTTCATGTATGTCTTCCGTGGCCATCATACCATACTGCGCACATGAACCTTCTCTCTTCACACAAACCTAGACAAAAACTAGAAATGTGTCCATAGGACACGGGTGCCCCCACCGCGCCACTGTTCTGTCAATCTTTTTACTAAGTCAAGGGAAATAACTCTACAAATACTGGATAAATCCACAAGCGAAACCCCAGGTGCAACTCTCAATATGCTGAGCAACCTGCCCAAAAGGTTTAATGACTATGTCCAATCCTTTTTGAGTAACTTGCGACACAAGTTGAAAATTGCAAAAATTTTCTAAGTGAAGGGCAATAACTCTAAAAATACTAAATAAATCCAGACAAAAATACCTGGTGCACAACTGCACATGCTGATCAATAATCCTGTAAAGTTACATGACTCTAGGTCAAATACTTTTTGAGTTACGTGCGACACATGTTGAAAATTGCAAGATTTTACTAAGTCAAGGGCAATAACTCCAAAAATACTAAAAATATCCACACAAAAATACCCAGGTGCACAACTACATATGCTGATCAACATTCCTGTAAAGTTTCATGACTCTAGGTCAAATACTTTTTGAGTTACGTGCAACACAAGTTGAAAATTGCAAAATTTTACTAAGTCAAGGGCAATAACTCTAAAAATACTAAATATATCCACACGAAAATACCCAGGTGCACAACTACACATGCTTATCAACATTCCTGTAAAGTTTTCATGACTCTAGGTCAAATACTTTTTGAGTTACATGCGACACAAGTTGAAAATTGCAAAATTTTACTAAGTCAAGGGCAATAACTCTGAAAATACTAAAAATATCCAAACGAAAATACCCAGGTGCACAACAACACATGCTGATCAACATTCCTGTAAAGTTTCATGACTCTAGGTCAAATACTTTTTGAGTTACATCCGACACAAGTTGAAAATTGCAAAATTTTACTAAGTCAAGGGCAATAACTCTGAAAATACTAAAAATATCCAGACGAAAATACCCAGGTGCACAACTACACATGCTGATCAACATTCCTGTAAAGTTTCATGACACTAGGTCAAATACTTTTTGAGTTACGTGCGACACAAGTTGAAAATTGCAAAATTTTACTAAGTCAAGGGCAATAACTCCAAAAATGCTAAAAATATCCACACGAAAATACCCAGGTGCACAACTACACATGCTGATCAACATTCCTGTAAAGTTTCATGACTCTAGGTCAAATACTTTTTGAGTTACATGCGACACAAGTTGAAAATTGCAAAATTTTACTAAGTCAAGGGCAATAACTCTGAAAATACTAAAAATATCCAAACGAAAATACCCAGGTGCACAACTACACATGCTGATCAACATTCCTGTAAAGTTTCATGACTCTAGGTCAAATACTTTTTGAGTTACGTGCCACACAAAAGTGAACGGACGGACGGACGGAAGGACGGACGGAAGGACGGACGGACAGACGGACGGACGGACGGAAGGACGGACGGACAAGGGTAAATCTAAATGCCCGCCACTAACGTGGGGGCACAATCATACAATTTGCTTTGCAATGATCATGTTTGTACATAGCTGGGATAATGATATTCTGAATGAGTAGTATACCTGAGACATTTGCCAAACTACTTGTGTCATATAATTATGAAATAAGCAGATAAGTAGTGATTAAACCACTTTTTATGACGTAATGCAGTTAAAAGTGAATGAGGATGCACAAATTTAGCACTTGAAACTTCATTTATAAACAGTGACTGAATTACATTTTGGCAAATGTCTCAGGCATACTGAAAACTATTAAGACCAAAGAAGTTTTATATATAATGATGAAGCACAAAAAAATGCCAGGATGTCATTCTCTCAAATGACCTTGAAAAGTAAATACTCTTCTGGAAATGTTTGTAATCCCGGGCCTATGTGTTTAATTATTTAATTAAAATTTGATTTCCCTGAAAAACTAAAATTTTTTTATTGCCCAATTTTATTTTACAACTCTTTCCCTTTTTAAAAAAAGGCCATATTTTGCAAAAATTTTACCCTTACTGTTGCATGTTTGCTTTGTTTTTGGGTTTTACTTTCCCTACTTTAGGGTTTTTACTTTTTCCATAAAAATATTGCTTTGGGAACTTTAAAGAAAAAGATGCCAACAGTAAACTTTTCACTTATTAGGTAAGGAAATGTTTAAACAGCAGGAAAGCTCAATCAGTAGAGCCTCACTCAGAACAGTATTCCAAGGATCTAGTCATAATATAATGACATGCCAAAGCCGGATTCTGAGATATTTTTGTTCTCGGTCAGAATCTCGATTTTAGAGGCGAGATACTGTATTCCTAGAAATGTTCGCGCATACAATATTTCGCGTTTTTCACAACGTCCGCATTTTCGCGGAGACAAACTTTCGCAGATATGTAGTAACCGCGAATTCCGCGAATGTTAAGTCGCTACAGCCTAAATTACAGTTTTTGGAGGCTACGTTTTTGATGCATGACCTTGTCTGTTGGGTGCTTTTAATTATTTTATTTTTTTGACAAGTCGCGCCTAAAGCGCAACGTTACTCGATACATTTTCATCTATTGACTACTTTCATGTCTCCTTACCTTTTTCATATGTGATTAAGTAAGATTTAGTCAGGGACCGTTAGCTTTTATTTCTCATTTGAATATAACTGACCTTTTCCTCAAAATGTCGATACGTAATTTTTTACACATTATCGGACTGTACATCGCTTTCATTATAACAACATAACAGCTGTTTATCAATGTAGCACTTGATCGCTATTGTACTTTTAACAAAGGATTACACCTACTCCAAGCAAATAAAATCCAAGTCATTCAATGTTCACAAACTGTAAATGCGTTTGTCAACGCCGTGACTAACCTTCAATAAGCATGATAATTACTAATAATTGATATTTTATTTTTCAGCGTGCAAACTAGTTTCAATAACATACATAAATAATTATTTACACATTTCTATAGCACCTGTGTTTTTATGGTTTTTTTTGTGTAAGTAGATTATAATAAATATTCAGCACTTTTTATTTTACTTGGTTGAAGCTAGAAATGTTCGCGGATTTGTTATAAGTGACATATTCACGGCTTTAAAGATTCGCGGAATCATGCCTACCGCGAAAACCGCTAACTTAAAATGCGCGAAATCTTTTCTAGGAATACAGTATTGCCCAGACACAAAATAGCACAAAATCTCGCCATGCAGTACAATTAGTTGGACAAACCTAGGATCCTGGTCTGGCTGCATATCTTTCTTACCCTGCACAGTAACATCCAATTTAATTCAATGTTATCAGGCTATACGATATTCATTGGTTCAATGCAGAGAGGGAGTAATGTTTATATTATAGAACTGTTTAATAATCAGAGGAGAAAATGTGTAAGCAGCCCAAAGATAGCTATATTAAATATAGTCCAACTAACCAGACTTGTTAATGAGACATCAAGATAATTTTAAGTGGATGATGTCTTTCTCGATTTGACAGAACTTCGGAAAAATAAGTCTGTTAAATGGGTCAAACTTGACTATTTCGGCTTTGAGACCTACAGAACTTCAACAGTTCTGAGTATGCCAAACTGAGTGTTTGTTTTTCTAATCCCACAATTTGAAAGAATTATGTAGCCTGCATGTATGGACATGGATAATCCTAGATTAGACCGAGGGTCTAAACCAGGAGTATTTATAGTAGGCTCATTCCATATTTTATAGTAGCTACATTATATTTAGCTATTATAAAAATTATGGGCTGTGAATGTGATTATTATTAAACCATTGGGGGTTTTGAAATTTAATAAACAAAAGGTCCCTGCCCTCAACGGTTTTAAATTAACTATGATCCATAAAGGCAACTTGTCCTTTGAAACAGAGCTTGCTTGGCCGAAGGGAAATTTCAAAAACAGTTTTTCCAGGAGATTTGCCGAATACATACCTTGTCATTTCATTTGGAAGTTATTTTTTAGATGACCAAGTTACAAAGCGTCACATTTTAGAATCACTGTCAAGAATGTTGATCTTTTTTCCATTCATTTTTGTCATCATCTTGTTGGAGACGCTTTCATCGTTTTGGCCTTTTATATTAGGTCTTCAATTGCAAGTAATTATACACTGTATACAGTAGTATTTGCGCAGGATTTCAAATCTGGAATAAACTGACAAATTTCACATGGGTAACTTTTATCTGTTTATCACTCAGTTTATCCTATATGTAATAACTTCAGAAAATTATAGTAATTCATATGAATATTTGTCAAGTTTTAGATATTGCTGTGTTAAATTGTAAACCATTCAGATAAATTTGGTTTTGGCTACGTAAAAACTGTAAACATGCACTCAAATAGGATTTGGAATGTCGCGTAAACTGGTGATATTTACAATTAAAATTGCCAAATGTAAAAACAGCCATTGGTCTACATAATCAACAAGATGATGATCAATATTGAATCAACAAATAATATCAAATATGTGTAATATACAGGTATTCTTACTATTTTTAGTCAAACGATGCTTGGCTAAGTGGTAACAACCTACTATAGATTTTCACTTAAGAATCATTTAGTGGTGTTTGGCACGCAAACAGGACGTTTCGGCCCCAAACCAAATCGGCCCCAGTAGAAAAATCGGCCCCTGGACGTTTCGGCCCTTTTCCGCGAGACGTTTCGGCCCTACTATATAGTACAGACAATTAATTTAATTAATTAACAACAATTGATTTAATTGAAAATAAACAATTATGACCTTTAAATTCTTTAAATAATTATTTATTATCTTTTGATCTCTTGAACCATTTAGATATACGTTAATGTTTTTTTTAAAGGTGTAACAAACAAAAAAGGCAGTTTAATCCATAATTTATAAAACAAACCACTTTAAAACTTCTTTGATTAAGAAAGTTAATTACAATTATTCCTTAGAAAACATTATTTTTTTTTATCTTAATTAAACTATAGGCCTACGTATTTTTTTTCAAGGTTGTAACTAATTAACTGTTTATAGCTTTATGTAAGTAATATCAGAGAAAACTTTCAAAATATTAAAAAAAAAACGGTTTGCTATATCTTCCTGATAATATTTTTAATTATTTATTTGTTATTAGATAATGATAGATGCCTAATGTTATAAAAGTGATTGGAAAGACTGAAACCAAATCATAAATGTACCTGCTATATTATTTGAATATATATATTTATTAATTAGTTTAATTCAAAAACAATGTTGACAGTGACAAAAGAATTATGGATATTATGGCTTCTGTTTCTTTTTCATTGTAAAATTTACATGACCAGATATTTCGATTTTCACGTGCATGAACAAACTAACTTTCCTTACCTGATAATTAAATGTGTTAGATTTTTCAATATCAAGGAAATAATTACGAGTAGCTATTTATTATGAGATATACATAAACATTTGAAGTTAACATTAAATGCAACAAGTATCTAATCGTTTGGTTTGGTTTTTGGTAAAAGATTTAATCTTTTACGTAAAATATATAAGACGTATCGTAAATCTTTCAAGGTACTTGGAAATTGGCGTTCCACTTCATGAAATTTGTCATTTATGCATTATTATAACTATGAAATTTTAATATACCGGTTTAAAACACAGTTACTTATTCGGGGCCGATTTGGTAAAGGGCCGAAACGTCTTGGGTAATTTGGGGCCGATACGTCTTGGGGCCGAAATGTCTCGAAAGCTTTGGCACAAGTAGGTTTTCGGATGCATTCTAATTTTAACCAAAACAAAATACATTTTGTTTGGAAAATATTCAGGTAAAAACATGGAATCTATAGAATAAATGTTATTTGTCATCATGCATATTTAAGAATACTTAATGTAATATTTGTAAGGAACAAAATTTGATCTCACTCAAGGTCCTTACATCCTGCAATGTGCTTGAAATTATCAGATTATGTAAACAAAAAGCCATCAAAAATTTTTCTGTAAAATCCTGCAAACTCAACTTCTCAAATCACAGTCATAGTCAATCTCATTAGAAATCATATCCTAACTGACCTTCCACTACTTTTGCTAGTTAAGTAACATAGCCTAGAGTGACCAGGTCCACCAAAGACACCCAAACCCTCCAAAAAGATCTCAACAGTCTTAAAAACTGGGAATCTGATTGGTCCATGGAATTTCTTCTTTTTCTTCTTCTTCCAATACTGTACATAACCCACTATGGGGCATTGACGTACAGGGTGTATGTACAAAGTGTTGTGCAGCGAATAAGTGCAGATTTAAAAGAAGAACATGTTAATTAAAAATAAAATCAACTCCGGCATATTAGGGCCCCATGACTAGTCCTCCCTTGAAGGCCTCAAGGTTGAATGCTGTGGCTAGGTGCTCTGGAAGCTGGTTCCACAGGCGGATGGCTGAAGGTACAAAGGAGAACTTCATGGTATCTGTTCTGCAGAATGGGACATGGAATCTGTGTCCGTAGCCATGGCCACCAAGTGTCAAGGGGTGGAAGTACTGTGCAGCAGGGATGGCTATGAGGTTGTGCGTGATCCTGTAGACCATCACTAGCTTGGCATTGGAGCGGCGATGCTGTAGAGTTGGCCAGCCTAGGTCTGTCATCATTGCAGTGGTGCTGCTGGTAGATTTGTAATCGCCTTTTACAAATCAGGCAACTCGCCTTTGGACAGCTTAAATTCCAGCTGGTTGATGTTGGTGGCTGTGTGTGGGTCCCAGACTGTGCCTGCATACTCCAGGATTGGTCTAACAAGGGTATTGTAGGCCTGGGCCTTGATGTCTTGTGGGCAGCTTGTGATGTTTCTTCTAAGGAATTATAGAGAGTTGTTGGCCTTCTTGATGGTAGATTCTTTGTGTATGTTCCATGAAAGATTATTTGCGATGTTGACACCAAGGTACTTTCTACTTTTGACAAATTGAAGAGTTGATGGCATAAATGATGGGGCTTCTTTTCTTGGTGATGTGTATTACTTCGCATTTGCTGGGATTGAAAGACATCATCCACTTGCGTTCCCATTCCTGGAGTCTATCTAGGTTTTCTTGGAGGGCTAATGCTTTAGCTTCTGATTTGATTTTCCAGTAGATCAGGCTGTTGTCAGCAAAAAGGCGGCTGATGGAAGTCACGCACCTTGGTAGGTCGTTGATGTAAAGGAGGAACAGTAAAGGACCTAGTACTGTACCCAGGGTACCCCGGATGAAACTGGGGAGGATGCAGATGAATGGCCTTCAACGACAACTTGTTGGCTGCGGCCAGACAGGAAACTTTCAATCCAAAATCTGACTGTCCCTCTGATGCCGTAGTGATCCACCTTGGAAAGGAGTCGTTGGTGAGGCACAACATCGAACGCCTTACTGAAGTCTAGTAGTATGGCGTCTACTTGTTCCCCTTGATCCAGGGCCGATGACAGGTCTTGAAGAGTGAGAAAAGAAGCTGACTTTTAGTTGAGCGTTGTTTTCTAAATCCATGTTGTTGATCTGAAAGGATGTTGTGATGGTCAAGGCGTTTCATTAATTTGGCTATGTAGGAATGTGTTCTTAAGAGTTTGCCTGCATACTGATATGAGAGAAATGGGTCTGTAGTTGGCGGGGTTGCTACAGTCACCTTTTTTGAAAGATAGGTTGATACATTTGCCTTCTTCCAGGCTGAGGTACGTTCCTTGTTGCCAAAGAGGCGTTGAACAAGAGGGTGAGAGCGAAGTAGTCGTAAACAATTTTAAAGCAGTTTGATGTAGATGTAGATGTTCTATTTTGTAAACCAGATATTTTTGCCAATGGTGCCAAAACCGTGGAACAGTATTCTAACTGGGGCATATTTAACCAGATAAATGTGAAGTCCTTAGTATCAGCCGCCAAGAAACATCCAGTAACATTCCCCTATAATTTACACGGTCAAAACAACTAAAAATCCACTGAGGCTGGAAAATATTTAGGCATAACAATAATAATAGTAAAGATTTATCCTGGACCAATCACATAAAATAACATAACGGCAAAAGCCAAATAATTCACTCAGATTTATAAAAAGTTTTTGTTTGTTTTTGGGTTTTACGTCACTTCGACACAGTATAGGTCATATCGCGACGTTCTAGCTTTACTGATGGAGGAAGACCTCAGGGTGCCCTGTCGTGCAAATTTTCAGGCACGAACGGGTACCTGAGTAGAACCACCGACGTACCGTAAGCTAGCTGGATAGCTTCCTCACATGAAAGAATCCAAAGTCCCTGTCGGGATTCGAACCCACAGAGATGAGGGGCAAGTGCGTTTGAAGTCAACGACCTTAACCACTCGGCCACGAGACACCCTTTTATAAAAAGAAATGTCAATAACTTCAAATAAAAAGGTCGAAGAAACTGCCTTACAAAACTTATGTAAAATATTTGCAGGACACATTTTACATATTCTTCGATGTTTTTGAAAATTGTTTTATTTGCATAATTATATACATATATAAATTTTTGCAAGTGTGGTATACACACAGGGGGCCTCCGTGGCCGAGTGGTTAAGGTGTCCCTGACTTGAGATCACAGGTCCCTCACCGCCTGTAAGTTCGATCCTCACTCGGGTCAAAATCTTATATGTGAGGAAGCCATCCAGCTGGCTTACGGAAGGTGGGTTGTTTCTACCCAGGTGCCCGCTCGTGTCTGAAATAATTGCCAAAGGGGCACCTGGAGTCTTTCTCCACCCAATAAAAGCTGGAAAAATCAACGAAAATCTTGGCAGCACGCTCTAGGATGGCCGACTTGAGTGTACAGTCGCCCCATATGGGCTTTCTGGCGGCGACCTTAAATAAACGCATTAAAAAAAAAAAAAAAAAAAAAAGTATACACACAGTAACATCATCAATCACAAAACATACAGGATCTTTAAAAAAGGCATTGAAGTTATAAATTATGTCTGTTTTAAGATTAAATGATTTACCAATTTCCTTGATTGTCTGGTCACTGGTTGATATCTTTAGAGTCTTACTAACAGCAGCATTTGCCACTTGGCAAAAGTTTAGCAGCGTCTTCCAGAGAGTCATTAATTTAGCCAAGGGACCTAAGGATGGCAGCAATGTCCAATGGGCCTGCCTCATCAAAGATTTTTACAGCAACCTCTACCGTTGTACTTTTATCCTATGCTTGTGAAAAGACATCCAAAAGTTCTTGTAGTAAATTCGGCTATATGCTCACTCTGCCAGTCATGGACAGGCTGCCACCATGTAAGTTTCAAAAAAACTAAATCGATATATATAGGTCCAGGAGTTGCATGACATACTTAATATGTTCCAAATGACAGTATATGTCTGTGCCATTTTCAGCATTGTCATGAGTTTTATGCTCATTAACAAGCAACAAAGATTTTTTAACTGTTTGTTTATTGCTGTGCCATACCCAATATTTGCACCTGACCAATTATTAAGAAAAAATGTCATGGAGTTTGATAAAAATTGACGATAATTAATATGATATGATTATTTTGCAGGATGAGTAAATCATTGGAGTCTGTTGTAAAGGAAGAATTAGGACTTTCAGTGTTGAAGAAGAGTGTAGGACTGGGTGGAGGTGGCTGTATAAGTCAAGGGTCCACATATGACACTGATAAATATGGAAAAGTCTTTATTAAAGTTAACTCTCAGTCTGGGGTGAGACAATTATAATGTATGTGTGTTAGTAAGGTTATGTTTAGTGATTTTGGATTATATCACACTGAAAACAAGTACATGTATATATATGATATGATACGAAGTAATAATGGTTTAAAATTTGTTAAATAGATTATGTTTGCACAGTGTCAAAGGTTGCTGTCTTAGAATATATTGTTTGAATTTCTACATAATATATACATTAAAGAAAAAATATTTTTAAGGGAAGATTTAAATAAGTTGCATATTTAGAACATGGTTATATGCCCATAAAGGTTTATTATTGTAGGATTTCAGGCTTATATTATATTAGGATTGTCTGAAAAATAGTTGTCAGTATAAGAAATCATAGATTGTGACAGTATGACATATTAATAATAGTTTTTTAATATATATTGAAATCCTCTGAAGTAAAACTTAACTATTTTAGCAATTATTAATGTTTCACTTTAGGTTAAATATAATTTCACTATAAATTAAACAAAAAATATGGCTGTTGCTCTAAGAATTATAAAATAAATTATGCAGTTTTATGAATACCTTGTATATATTTTTTTTGTAAAGGCTCGCACAATGTTTGAGGGAGAGTATGCAAGTCTTGAGGCACTTGGAAAACCAAACATTGTCAGAGTACCAAAACCATATAAGGTAACATTCTTATCTTCATTGTAAAACTGTAACTGCTAGATAATGAATTTTCACAAATGTTGTTTTTACCCAGAGATGATAAATCATCTAAGTTACCCATGATTTCATTTAGTTGAATTGAAGAAATGAAGCTTCTTTTTTAGCTCACCTGTCGCAAAATCCGTCCGTAAACTTTTACTTTAAATGACATCTCCTCATAAACCACTAAGCCAATTTCATCCAAACTTCACAGGAATGTTCCTTTGTTAGTCAACTTTCAAAATTGTTAAAAGAATTTAATTCCAAGCAGAACTCTGGTTGCCATGGCAACCAAAAGAAAAAAAAAACTTAAAATATCTTTTAGAAAACAGAAAGAGCTAGAGCTTAAATTTTGGCATGAAACATCATCTAGTAAGTGCCTACCAAGTTTGTTCAAATAAATGCCATTGGGTCAAAATTTGCCCCGCCCCGGGGGTCATTGATTTTCCTTATTTGTACATAGTAAAAACTGAAAAAATCATCTTTTAAAAACCCAAATAGCTAGAGTTTAGATACTAAGCATGAAATATCTTCTAGTGAGTGTCTACCAAGTTTGTTCAAATAAAAGCCCTTGGATCAAAATTGGCCCCTCCCTATATGTATATAGTAAAAACTTAAAAAATCTTCTTATAAAAACCCCAAAGAGCTAGAGCTAAGATATTTTTCATGAAACATCTTCCAATGGGTGTCTACCTAGATTGTTCAAATAAAAGCCCCTGGTTTAAAATTGACCTTGGCCCAAGGGCCTACATACAGGTGAGCGATTTCAGGGCCATCATGGCCCTCTTGCCATTCATTGATTTTATTTTTATCAAAATGTATGTCATGTATTTTGAATTCACCCATATCCAATGATTACAATTCCATATCCAATGATACAATTTATTGTTTACTATAATAAATATTATATGTAAAATTTAATATACATGTACTGATACAGGCTGTTGTTAAGTTTACAGCATAATGACTTATAGTTAGTAAAAAAAACAACAGTTATTCTTAGTGAGTATAGATTTGCATTGATTCTTAGGAAGTGAAAATTTACATTTGTTTTTAGTAATAATCCCTGAATGATTATTATTGAGTAAAAGTCTTCATTGACTCTTAGCAAGTTATCCCCAGTGATTCTTAATGAGCAATTTACCATCTTTACTATTACTTTATTCTATGGGGTAGGGACATTGGTTGTGCAAAAAAATTCCAATAATTGATTTAAAACATATCTTTTTATCTAAAGGTTGTAGGTCTCTTTTTTTCTTTGTTTAAGGTTGTAGATCAGCCAGGGGGTGGAGCAGCTTTAGTGATGGAATATATTCAGTTTGGTGGAGGCCTGTCAAAATATTCTGCTTTACTCGGCCAGCAGCTGGCAAAGTATGTTGAACTTTATTTCTATTCTTTATGATGTTACTGAATAAAATCTTTGGATGTCTGATGCAGGCAACAATATCTCAATTCTGAAATTCTGAATCAGAACATCTTTCACGCTATTTATTTCCCCGTTTCTACAAAATTTTATTAAGAGCATTTGTTACAGTGAAACCCGTCTTTTAAGGAAAAAGGAAAAATATTTGGACAATAACTGTACTTTGAATAGACTTAATCTGTTACTGTTATTGTTAAAAAATTCTCCACTTTTATGAAAATACAGGCTAGATTGTAAGAAATACAATTATTGAAATATTGTGCTTGTTATTTGTATCCGAGTGTTTTCACTCCAACTTTGTCATGGCTAATCCATTATTATACAACGTAGGTTACATTTACACAATGCGACACTGGAGAAGAAGGAAAAGAAATCTGAAGGTAGTGTACATAGAGACGAATCAGCTGAAGAATATGTGAGAAAGTTTGGATTTCATATTAACACATGTTGTGGGTACATAGCTATGGATAACACATGGAAGGATGATTGGCCAGTATGTATGTGTTAAATTTTCATCTAAACCATTAGCCTACTGGCAGCATCATATTCTACCCAATTTTACCAGTGTATACCAATATCAGTCAGCACGTATGTATTGGCTGATCATGGTCTTTGCTATTCACAATTCAGTCAATGCATATTTTGAAATTTGTCCCTAAAAAATGATGAATGGCTTTGTCCAGATTGAACGATGGACAAGGTCATTTAAGATTCTTTATTTCTGCAAAAGAATTACTTATTTCTCTCTAAAAGTGATCATAGTGGGTACTGTTGAAATGCAAAGCAGTACAAGTAAAACCTCATATGTTGTCATATTGAATTTTATTATACCTATATACATGTATATGTCTCAATGTAAAACTCCCAAAGGCCTATTATGTATTCTGATTTTATATCACTCTCCTAGGATATATTCCCCCGGCGGGGAATATTTCTTATAATTATATCACCCTGGGGCACATAACTCGTGCATAACTCCATATTCAGCAAATTTTTAAGTTTAACTAGACTTTGTTACAATACGTTTTTGGGTGTAAGGGAGATAACCTTCAACTTTATATAGGAATGTATAATATCATTCTTGAACTGTTTTTGTTAAGTTTATTGTTTTGAGAAAAATTGAATGGTAAAAATGATGATGTGTATTCTATTTATTTCCTTGACTGCGTACTTTATAAATATAGTAGTTGTAGGTCTTTCAGTATGATAAAATAAATAAAACATGGCTGTTGGGGTAATAGAGGATATTGCCAACCCTTGAACTTTGGAACTGGTATATTACCCATTGGCTGTGCCTCCAGGTAATATACCAGTTCTCTTGTTGATAATATCCTCTATCACCCCAACAGCCATGTTTTATTTATATAATGGTCTTACCAGTTTAACAAATATCCCAGTAAATAAATTATTTACATAATTATTATTTGTAACTATTATTTACATATTATTATGAAATACTCTTAAACTGTGTGAAAAATTGAACGATACATGTAATTGTAGATGCAAATCTTTTGATGAAATACTTCTTTGGTAAAAGATCATCTTTGAATAAAGAACACAATTGTATATAAAGATTAAAATTGTCAATAGAGGTTATTATTGATTTAAGTAAAGAAGTAAGTGCAAGTTCATTGACATTTTTTTAATAGATTTCAATTTCTTACATTTTAGTCATTCTATGCTGCTAAAATAGAAAAACAGATTTCAATGATCGAAAAAAAGGTAAGTTGAAAGTTATTTTGTATTTTTTTTTCTCCATTACCCCTTAGCATATTGGTGGCAACCAGAAATTTGCATGTACCCGTGCAAGCAGTGCAGACCAAGATCAGCCTGCACATTGTCTGCACTGTTTGCAATGATAGGCAGTACAGTCATGTATATATTTTGAAATTTTATGGTTAAAAAACAACTTTTTGATTACTTTATCTCTATCAATCATGGAGGTAAGACCATTCTGCTGCATGGATTTATTTGCTATTAAATTTCTTTCAACTTAACTTAACCCTAACTTCATCTGTTGATCAATAATCGATACACATTTGAAAAAATCAACAATTCTGACTAATTTATTAATTATGTAGAAATTATAAAAATTTAACCAAAAAATACACCGAAGCAGATGTCTTTGTCAAAAACTATGCGGTCATTATGTAATGGACATATTTATATAAACAGGCTTAAAATTGCATTTTAGACAAGGAACAATAAGTAATTGTCAATATATTGGTTTATCATTTATATTAGTCATCCAATATTGAAATATTGTTGATATGCTTTGCACTCTGAATCAATGACAGCTGTTGCAAATACCTTATAAGACATGTGTGCTTGATTATAATTTCAGGAAGGAGACAGAAAAGCTAGGGAATTATGGAACAAAATTCTTGTAAAATTTCCGAACTTTTTTGAAGGACTTGACATTAAACCAGCAATAGTACATGGTGATTTATGGGGAGGTAATGCCAGTGAAAATGATGAAGGCCCAGGTAAGTGGTACAGTACTGTTGTCTTTTGTTAATTATATTTTTCCATGATTAACAGCTATGATGTCACACAAACACTGTAAAATCATATTAAGGCTTAATAACTTTACAAGTACCCCTTATTAATTATTTCAGGTACATGTGGGTACCTGAATAAATTCAATATCCTTTCATAAGGTAGCTAGATAGTTTCCTTACATGAAAGGATTCAGAGTCCCTGGAGGGATTCGAACCCACTGCATTGAACAAATGAAATGTGGCTACCTCAACCAATCTGCCATCAAGATCCCATTAACATCTAAATTAGCCATGTGACATTATACAGTAAGAGCTTTTTTAACAAATTATACATACTGATCTTATTTAAAGTAATGTTATGAAGGAAGCTGCATCAGTTTGCTTTCTTGACTATCAGTGCTGGTGTCATGAGAAAATGTGATAGCGGATTCAGTAAGGCTCAAACCCATGACCTCTATTATTATACTATAGGAATTACATTAATAGCTCAAGGTTTCAAAACTTAACAACATATTTATATGCATGTGCTTTTAATGATAACTTTTGAGTCAGTAAATAAACAAATTTAGGTTTGTCTTATTTAAGCAAATTACTTCTATCATGAGGGAAAGGTAATTTTTTTTCAAAGTTTGCATCAATTTGTTGTGTATATTAGGCTGTCCTTTAAAAATTCAGAGACATTTTCGTGTACATGACTGTAGCATCTGTAAATTTATATTCATAAGTGCTATACATTTATTTGATTGTGTTTCTTTTTAAAATGCATTATGAATTTTTTATGAACTGCTTTTTGTGTACAATTTTTCAGTAATATTTGACCCTGCCAGTTTCTATGGTCACTCTGAATATGACCTCGGAATCAGTTATTTGTTTGGAGGTTTCAACTCTAAGTTTTATGGTGCTTACCATGATGTTATACCAAAGGCACCAGGATTTCAGAAGAGAAAAGAACTTTACAAAGCTTTTCATTATTTAAATCATTGGTAAGCAAACAATTTATTTAGTTTGTTTGTCAGTGTTTTCTTGTTTCTGATATTTATACATCAAAATATAACACCACCAAATGCATTTAACCCATTACTTCATGAGCATTTGGTGAAAAATGGCTGTTTTCATTGAAAAGTCTCCCGTTACAAGTTCAAATTGCTATAAAACTATAAAAACTGCTTCAATACTAATCAAACTTGGCACAAATGTTGACTGGACCATTGCCTTTGTAACAACATGCCCAGGCTTAAATTTCCTGTTACCATGGCAACGAGGGGACATCTCAAAATTGCCAAAAATCACTATTTTGCGTTGATTTTTCCCATCAAAATTGATTTCAAAGTGCTGCAACTTCTCAATGGATTGAGATAGAGTCAAATGCTTTTCAGCGTTGGTTACACGTTACCTTATGATCGATCTGGGGTCATTTTTAGCCTCTCACAAGTCCAAAATTTTCTTTGGACTGCCGCCCCCCTTCAAATCCCCCAAACAGAAGGGGGCCCACCCCCCTTCTGGCAACCCCCTGATGTATCTTTTGGTTGGGGGGGGGGGGGGGTGCCGAAAAAGTGGTCACTTTTTTAAACAACATTTCTCAAACAAAAATAAGTGTTGGGGCCTAAATAAGGCATTTTTCACCATTTGAGACAACAAAAAAAGAGGGGGTAAAAGGCGTGTATATCGGGTAATGGGGTAATGGGTTAAATGTTAAAATGTTTGCCTCTATGATAAAACATTATACTGATGTGCCATAGAAGGTTCATTAACTTGTACTCTTCTAAATATATTCAACTTCTTTATTTGTAAATCTGTACAAGACTGTTTAAATGTTTTAGGAAAATTCAAAATATGTCTAGAAGCAAACAGTGCACACCTTGATCAGATGACATGGATGTGCCAGTCGGTCTTGACTAGATTCTGTAGTCATCAGCAGGCTAAGCTGCTAGTTATGCTTGCTTGTTAAATCAGTAAAAATAAGTGGCCTGTACCATTAATATGGAGCCAGGCTGGATTGCACATTTGTGACAGACTTACCAGGCACTGTTTCGCTTTTTTATGCTCCCCGAAAAATTTCGGGGGAGCATATAGTCGGCGCCTTGTCCGTCTGTCCGTCCGTCCGTCCGTCCGTCTGTCCGTCCGTTGTCTTGTCCGGAGCATAACTTGAAAACCCTTGGAGATACTTTGTTGAAACTTCATACAGTGGTAGAGGGCATCGAGGGGGAGTGCAGTGTCAAAGAACCATAACTCTATTTTGCCCGGTTTTTGAATTATCTCCCCTTATAGAAAAATCTTGTCCGGGGCATAACTCTAAAACTATAAGAGATATCAACATGAAACTTTGTAGGTGAATAGATCTCAATGGGTAGATGTGCAGTGCATAAGAACAATAACTCTTTTTGTCCTAATTTTGGAGTTATTGCCCTTTGTTAATTTTAATACTTTGAACTTTGTCCGGAACATAACTTGAAAACCCTTGGAGATAATTTGTTGAAACTTCATACAGTGGTAGAGGGCATTGAGGGGGAGTGCAGTGTCAAAGAACCATAACTCTATTTTGCCCGGTTTTTGAATTATCTCCCCTTGTAGAAAAATCTTGTCCGGGGCATAACTCTAAAACTATAAGAGATATCAACATGAAACTTTGTAGGTGAATAGATCTCAATGGATAGATATGCAGTGCAAAAGAACCATAACTCTGTTAAGCCTTATTTTTGAATAATCTCCCCTTTTAGAAAAATCTTGTCCAGGACATAGCTGTAAAACTGTAAGAGATATCAACATGAAACTTTGTAGGTAGATAAATCTCAATGGGTAGATGTGCAGTGCACAAGAATCATAACTCTACCTTGCCTAATTCTGGAGTTATTGCCCTTTGTTTATTTTTACTTTTTGAATTGTCCAGGACATAACTCGGAAATCATAAGTGATATCATCAAGAAACTTTGTAGGTTGATAGATCACATTGATTAGAAGTGCAGTGCAAAGAACTGTAACAGCCTTGCCTAATTTTGGAATTATTGCACTTTGAACTTTTTCCACGGACATAACTCTGAAACTACAAGAGGTGTACTTTCCTGTGTCCAAAACCTATTCGGGGAGCATCACCCGGCTCAAACCGGGCTCTTGTTTTTTATCCATAGTATTCTAATATTGAAATTGAGACAATAGAAATAGTTAAACATGTGAAAGAAATTTTTAAAATTTGAAAACTTAGCATAGCATTTTCAATGGCGCCCTGTTAAAAAGGATAAATGAATTAAATCTTAGTGACAATATGCCCATCCAAGGTTATATAGTGAGTGAACAGGTGAAAGTCAAGTTACTATTTCTACCAAATTCCTTGCAATGTCATAATTTACTTTGCATGAGCGATAAATATTTCACATGGCCCAAGGATATTATATATTATATTTGCCTGTAAAAAAAGAGTGGGATAGTCATTTATATTATAGGCAGATTTATATTTTAGTCTAAAAAAAATCCTATAGCAACTGTTGGTCAATCAACATTATAACAGTCAACCTTTTGAAATATATAGTCAATTCAGCTCAACTTGACAATGAAAAATTAGCAAAACACATAATTACAATATTACAATGATTATCATTTCTAAGCCTTTGTCACCTTAAAATTTTTTGCCAATGCAATCATAATGTATGAAATAAATTGAAAATTTTTGAGAAACACACTGCAAGAACTTTTTGATAATAAAACAAATCACACATGTACAACAACACTGCAAAGTAATTTAGCACTGGGAGGATAACAGAACAACTGTTTAAAGACACAATACAACAGATCTGTAGTAATTTTTTTGTATATTTCAGGAATCATTTTGGAGGTGGCTACAAAGGTTCATCCATATCAACTTTACAAGCTTGTGTTAATGCTGTTTATAATTAAACATGTATTAATATTTGTTTTAGCTATCAGAAATAAGCTAATTGATGTTTGTATTTAGCTTTAATGTCACCTGCCCTAACCTTTTAGCTTCAAGCCAGGGGCAGCAAAAACATGGTTTCGGTTACGTATGGCATAACCAAGTTCTGGATAATGTTACCTTTGATATGATAAAGCGTAGAATCCTGGATAATTATAAGCAGTCATGGTATGCAGAAATAAATAATTCTCCACGATTACAAAGCTATAGTTTATTTAAACACACTTTTGAACGCGAGACAAATATTGATTACAAGATAGAAAATATATGACAACTTTATCAAAATTTCGGGTATCTGCACATAAGCTATTTCTAGAATCCGGAAGATATACGAATATTCCGCGAGAGCAACGGTTATGTAAGTCCTGTAACATGAAGAGAGTTGAAACAGAGTTTCACTTTTTGATGGTGTGTCCTAGATATAGAGAGCTTAGAAAAAAGTTTTTAAAGGGATATTTCTGTAGGTGGCTGACAATTAATAAATTTGAGTCTTTATTGAATTCTAAATCGAAAATAGAGCTATACAACCTTTCGAAGTTTCTATATTTTGCAAATAAAGAGAGAATATCTTGATGATGTAGTATCAATTAATATCATATTAACATCTTGATGTAGTATCAATATCGTATTTAAGAAATTTTGTGCAACCTGCTACTTCCTTAGTATTTTAAGACCTTTCAGGAAATAGTGTTATTATTTTTTCATTCCATGTCAGATCTCATTTTCATGAATGTATATATATGTTTTGTTTTTGCTATAAACATTGTAATAATGTTTTATTCGCAATAAAGTTATTTGTATTGTATTGCATTGTATTGGCCAGGTTATTTCACAGCCTTTATAGGCAAGTGAAATTTTTCCAGAATTAACTGTAACATACGGACAAGATAAGAAATGACAAGTGAGGAAAATCAGATTTTGCTGGCCCTGCATGCAAGGGTTTCTAGTCCATCTTAGTGCCATAGTGTTCATTTAATAAGATTCATTTAATTGTTGTAGCCTGTAATGCTGTTTTTACAACAATATGCTAATGTATTTGCATCCAAAATAGTGCACATATTTTGTTGTCAATAAAATTTATTAATTATGATAAAAGATGTAAATTATGTCTAACACTTATTGTCAGTTACTAATATAACCTAAATAAACTTACAGAAAAGTTGTTAGTACAGGTACATAATCCATGAACAATACTAGGCTAACTGCCAGATTGTAGGAAACTGCAATACTGCCACAAGCATAAAATAATGAGTGAATTTGCACCTGAATTGGACTGTTTTACCTATTTAGAACATACCCATGGTGCTTTTCATAATAACTTAATATAATAGAAAATGTACCATAATTAATTAATTATATGTACATTGCCTTCAAGGCTTTGCTGTTATTGTATGCTTACACCTCCTCTCAGCAAAAAAAAACAAGTTTGATTGTTATATCACTCTGTATGTTGTGTCTGTGATAAAGAAATTAGAATTTGTGTTATTTGTGTTAGTATGGTAAATCATTTACAATAATATTATATGCACATTTTAATGATTCACCTTTTGAACTGTTTAGGTATTATATTATAGTTCCTATTTTTCATTTTAAGTATCTGTTGAATTCAAACATTATCACATAATGCAAGTACATGTGTTTTTTCCTTGTTCTTTAACATGCAATTACATGTTGCTTTTTTGATTTCATTATATAATGTATGCATGTTGTTTCTTAAGAAAATATTAGTTCATCCATTATTGTGTTATATATAATAATTTCATTCATTTTTCATCCTATATGTATCGTTCAATATTATATTATATGTATTATTCATTGTTAAACACTAGAAACTGTACAGTTTATGTGTAATAAAATCTGTTCTGTTCTGTTCTGTTCTGTGTTACTCTGTATCAGATTTTGTAACATGTATTATTTGTTGTTCTTTTTATTAAATACTGAATATTAAGAGAATATTTTTTCGTTTGCATGAAATATGATTAAGAAATAATATATCCCAAACTGTGATTTTATTGCTCAATAACATCACTGTTTGGAGTTCGGATGCGGGGAATTATATCACGAGGGCATATCCCGAGTGATATAATGATGCGCATCAGAACGACAAACAGTGATGTTATCAAGCAATAAAATCACCGATTTGGATATATTATTTCGATTCTAACACGACATCAACAAATAAATGTTGCTGCTTAATTGCGCCTGATTTGTTGCCGTACTCATTGTCACCGCGTCATATTTTTAGTGGTTACGTCACGTGTATAATGATTACGTCACATGTCTAAATATAGAACGTCAAACAGTGATTTTATAGCATAATAACACACACTTTCGGTTCTTCTATGTTCAAAAGGGAAAAATGCGGGTTGTGTTAGAATATATATTTTATCATGTTGAGTGAAAATATATACCATATTTCACGAAAAACGAAAAAATAACCTTTTTATTAAATTTCATTATCAAAGAAAATGGTAACGAATCCCCTTGCTTTCTACCATCTGCAATTGTACAGCGCACAGTAATTTATGCGTAAGCACGCGCTGTTTGGCGCTACATTGTGACGTCATGTAAACAACTCTTTAAATGTCTGTACAGCGTTAATTACTGAATTGAAGATATTGGTGTTCGGATTAATTTTCTTAGTTAGACCATTTTCTATCATGCTAGATAGTTTTCAATACAAAATTCAAGAAAAAGTTGTTTTGTATTTATCAGATTTTTCAAACAAAACGGCGAAAGAAGTCCCTTAAAATAAATATGAGTTTTGACTCCGCCCACTTTCATATTTATATTTCATATTTATTTTTAAGAAATATGAAATATATTTGACTGATGTAGCACCATATTTCATGGGTAAAATTAAATAAGTGTATATTATTCAACTAGAGCTCCTTAACAAAAAAAGAACATTACATTTAATATGATTGTACAGATATAATTATGTATCTCCTTTTTACTAAAAGAAACACCATAGTAATGACACTGATTTTTGTTAATATCTTCTGTTTCAAAGAAATTGTCTACCTATTATGATGGCTGAGTCTTCTTTGTCATCCATGTGCATAAGTTATCTATTTAAAACTTGGAATATAATATTTGTTTATAATGACAAGGTGCAGTTGTTGGACATGGGGCATATTTCTGAAAAATGTATTTTTGGAGTTATGTTTTTACTTAGAATTTTTGTCAAAATTTGTTATTGAGTCATTGCCCTTGAGAGATGTACATGTATGTGGTGCTCTTGTTTGTTAATTTCTTACCGGTGTTGTAAATTATTAAAAGAAAAAGTATTTATTGTACAGTTAAAGAAAAACTTTTATTTGAGGTTTATTTGAAAAATGAAATTGTCACTTCAATAATGTATTTGCTTCTTGAGAAGTTAAAATGATCATGATTAAAAGAAATCGCTGTCTGAATACATTAAGTGGGTACTTGCTTATTTACAGACTACAGAATGCCATTTGTTATCTTATAACTATAAATATGTTTGTTTACTTATCTAGCACAAACATTGGCCAATTTTATGATGACATTTCAGTCTTGTTTACCAGAGGTATTGCACAGTTACAACATAATGCAACAATTCTGTGTGTATGCATCATGTTATTGTTACATTAAAGAAATAAAACATAAAAAATAAAACCAGTTTTTGTTTTGTGTACACCTTCAGACAATGGTGATATGATGCTAGTCTAAATGCTATTATAATCTCTTAATATTTGCTCTTTTGAAAAGAGATCCAGGAAGAATAAATATATGTTTGTATCTTTGTAAAATGTTTACATCTATTCTATGATAATATGCATTAATTTTATCTTTGCATTTACAGAAAGTAAACAAAAATGTAACTGTAATTCAACTAGGAAATTATGGTATTCATATTTCGGGGACTACTTATGTTGCAAGAACTATGCTAAAATAGGACATAATTTTCTTAGTATTTAACAATAGCACTTTTTTTGTGTAATCATAAAAGTTTTGACCAATTTTTTGTGAGAACAAGTCCGTCTTTTATAGCCAGTGAAGCACATGTTTGCATTCAATAATGTTCAAAGGGTTTGAACTGTATTGTGATAAAAAGTCAATTTTATCATATATAAATACTTGCCTGCTTAATAGCTTAATTATCATTGTTTAACAGGGGAGCACTCTATAGAATTGGGTTAATTGGAACCAGGAAGTGACATCACAGCCTCAAATAAATATACAAAGTACAGCGAAAATCCATTACAAGGGTTATTATTTGAGCTACATAGTGACCACGATATCAGTGTGGGCAGTTTTTATGCAAGAATATCCATCGCAGACTACTCGGTAAACAAAACGTTTTTGTGCCTAATCTTCTGTTCAATGATAAAACTTTCCTGTTTTTCTTTCCATCTATTATCACTAATTTGTTTGTTAAAAACTGGCAAAGAATCTGAAATCATGAGAACAAATAAGTGTGTTTTAAGTTAATACCACTTTATTGTCATATTAAATTCAAACAGTATACATGAATGCACAATTTCTCTAACCCTTCCATGCAATATTTAGTTTGTCACACACGCACACTTGATAACATATTGTACAACTATAATAAAAAAACATGAGAATTATGAAATTAAACATTGACACTTCAACAACATCAAATTCATATACTGTATTACCTCAAATAGCACTTCATTTTACTATGTATTCTATTTATAATTAATTTCAATTAATTTCTAACCAATGAGAGATGTTGAATATGCAAGATGTTTTCATTTTCTGACAACAAAAGTATGAAATTTGAATACCTCATTCCAAGATGGGACATAATATAAAACAAAACAAGCAACTACATACTAGACAGGCAGTCTTATGTTGGCGTCCCCTTGACACACAGTTGATTAAATCAATTGGTAAACGTAGTGTTTAAATTGTATTTATGTTGACATTACCAAAAATTATATTGATAAATATTCATAAAACCATGTAAAGATCATTAAAATACTGTGGGGCTGTTAAAAAATGTTACCCCAGCTTGCTTATATGATACATTCTGAATTTCTAATTTGCATGTTAATATACTTATTGTAAATTTCCAAGAAAATTTGAATTACAAAAATATTTGGATCAAAATTATGATTATTTATGGATCATTAATTTTGAGAACAAAGTCAAAGTTTTGATGACCTTTTTAAAGAAATTATCTGAAAAATTTTCATATAAAATCCTGATCCTACATCTTTTGTATGTATGAGGCTAAAGATTTACTCCAAAACCATGACTAACCTGATGCAGAAAATATATAGCTTAATATATAGCCTGGTGAACATAATGTACAGAACACTTCAAATCATTTTATTTTCATATAAAAGCTATTCTAGTCCAACACTGTTTTTTTGCAACTTTATCATAGAAGCAAAAATATTTGAAGTTACATGTACCTTGTTACAGAAATACATGTATATACATGTATTTTCTTTTTGACAAAACGTTGACAACAACAAAACTTATCAAAATAAAAAATAAACAAGCAAACACTCTTTTTTATATGCATAATGTATATGTGATTGATGAGAAAATTACATTATCAAAGGTATTAAAGTTTGGCTAGATGTTGTATAAAATCTTTGCTAATTTATTTAATTTTTATCTATGAAAAACTGTTGTAAAATTTGGGAGTATTTGAATTAACATAACTTTGTACTTTCAATAAAAGCTATAGGCAAAAAAATGAAGATTTTTCAAATCCAGGTTAAAAATGAAAGATGTTTCTTTGGCATTGTTTTACCCTATACAAAAAAAATCAGAAGCAAAATAATTACATAAGGAGTCTGTAATGCAAGCAAAAAGCCCAGCCCTTGAGTAAATGTCTTTACATAGCCACTAGTATATTAACTGAATTTCTTGAGTAAAACCCTAAATGAGTTTGTATGGAAGGCTAATATATTTACCATTTAAAACCTTAATGAGATTGAACAATTGCTCCACCTCTTTGTACCTCTCCATTTAAAATCTAATTAACAATTTACCATCTTTCATTTTTATTGCTCTATTCAAAATAATGATGCGCTCCCAATATGCAACCCCCAACAGGCCAGAATGTGCTACTGAACTTAATGCTTAAGACATAGAGTGACAGTCATGAGGAATAACATTTATAACAACATTTTGGACAAACACTCAACATTTATACCAATGCATACACAGAGATCTGTAGAGTTGCAATGTTTTATGTATAAAATAAATAAAATATAGCATCATAAATACAGACAGCACTTTATATTGTAAACAAAAATTGTAATTGGGATATACACAAAAACATGTGTAAGATGTAATATCTCTATAAATTATCAACCAATCCTTACAAGCGAGGCAAAATTTCTCCAGGACAATTGATGTGAAGACATTGAGTCTAATGGCCAATCATTTCTCTCGGCTGATTCAGATATCAGGTAGTCAGTCATTTAGGGAGAAATTGGTTATAATACTGGTAAGTTAACCTAAATAGCCAGTTAGGTTGATCAATTGTCGAGAAATGACAAAGAAATGTGTTAACTAGTGTAAAAACAGAAAAACAAACGTTAGTTTAAAGGCCCATTATTCCTCAGAAATGCTTTCTCAAAAGCATTTTTAACTACGACATACTTTTCTAGTATCAAAAAAGGTAATCATATTACTTTGTTTACATTTTGCTACTCTTATGACAAATAATTTCACAGTTATTGCTACTTTTGTCAGTTCACAAGCATGATGTGGCTAAATCACACCTATCAGCAAATTCTTATATAGACAAACATTTGCTCACAAAATATTCAAGTTAATGTTTTCCAACAACAGACTTTAAGACAGTCTTAACTGTACATAACATTTACACATGTAGTATTATATGTAGTATGACCCTGCTTGAGAACAAAGCTGTTTGTTTTGAATATATACATGAATAAACTTGATTGTTCATTTTATTGTTTTAAATGTTTTTTGTTACATATTTCAAACACTCCTGCATGTAAAGCAATACCATTATCAAACTCATCTCATTACACCCCCCCCCCCCCAAAAAAAAAAAAAACAACAAAAAACCAAACATAAAGGAGCAAAATAACAGATAACAATTTTTAAAAGTTGGCAACAGGTGAATAGATCAAAGGTAATACGTTTCGTGTGGATAGATCAAAGGTAATACGTTTCTAGTATAGCATCTTTTTTACACAGATAAATTTATTATTTCTCAGTATTGTTTGTTCACTGTGGAGCAGAAAATTTAATTATGTTCTACCCACCAGACCAAGCCAATGACACTTATTCTTTTAGAAAACACCACTCATGGCCTTTTAAACCTTATTGTTATTTGGAATCCTTATCTCCATTTTTTTCACTGAACATGACATGTTGAAAATATTTTACTTTTAAGATGCAAAGAGCTCTCAAATACTTCCACAAAAATTCATGTATACACAAAAACAACATCCAGAAAAAGGCAAAACACGCAAATTGTAACCAAAAATTACTGAAAATAAACAAACAACTACCTGTGTAATACACATCATTCATTCATATCATATCTAAACAATGTGCAAGTTCTGTGAATTCACAAACATGTTGAAAATATTGAAGCAAAATAATGTACAACAGTCAATATTTACAATAAAAACTGTATAAATTTTACTGTTAAATTTCTGCTTCAAAAGAATTTATAAAAGGTTTCTTATAGTTACAGTTGTATAAATGCAAAACTTTTGACCCTTAAGAAATTCATGGAACTTATCAAACCTGCATTTTTTTTTCTCAATTGAAACTGTATGTTACAAAGTTAGTTGAATACAAATAAGATTCAGTAAATGTGCTATTTCACTTTCATTTAATGGACAATAAACTGTCTTGGAAACAATTTCATAATTTTCTTTGAACATGGGTAAAATCATACTAATAAGTAACTTAAGGGGGTTTGGTTTTTCTGATTCTCAAAATAAAGAAGCCCAAATATAAATGCTTAACAAACAGAAATTTACCATACATACATATTTATTGAATAAAGAGATCATATAATTTTCCTTTTTTACAACAATGGCAACTGGGTATTAATATCTATAAGCTAACTTTTGTCCAAACCTAGTCAAACTTAGTGAATGTGAAAAATGTTTCTTTGTGTCAGCAATAAATGAGTATTTCTTTCTCAAAACTTACACAAAAGTACATTAAACATTTCAACAAAAAAGCACTGTTAAGTTGAGACTTATTAAATTTGCAAAGCTTATTTGTTTTGGCCTTTAAAACAGTAGTCTACAGTAAATTCAAATAATAATGAGTACATATTTGTACATTATACAGGACAAACAAACCTTAATATAACTTGTACAATGCATTTATACTTAACCTTCCTTCTTAGCAAAATTTTTATTTCAAGTTTTTGAGATTCTTGCCATAATAAAGTCCGAGACAAAAAGAAGTAACTTGTACTGTATGTAAGATTACAATGGATACAAGAATATAGGTATAACTGATGGCTGCATTCCTGACATGACCTCCAACATAGTTTAAAGCACAGTCTTTTTGATGAGTAAACGTAGTAAAAATCTATTTTTAGCCACTGTGACCTTGATTCACCCCAAGAGTATAGACAAATATCAAATACCTTAAGACACCAGTCTGTGTTACTAAGAAAGATTGTTTGTTTGTTTCATTTTACGTTTCCCAACAGTATTTCAGTCATATAAGCGGGTAGTTTCCTAACCATCGTTCCTGGAGAGTTACACCAGTACTAGACTACCTTCCTCCGTGCTAAACTACAAAAGCATCTCCCGGGGATCGAACCCAGCCCAGAGAGGTAACTGGATTAGAAGTCATCGACTCTAACCCCTCGACCACGGAGGCGGTATTAGACAGGGAAATGTTGACAAATTGGCAATAGTTTGTGCCTTTAAAATCTTTGGAGAGCAATGACAATGAAAAGAATATTAATAAAGATCACATGTAACAATCACATGTCAAAACTAATCAACGGCTTAATGCAAACTTTATAATATTATACATAATATACAAGAAGATATAATTCATTGTGCATGAAGTCCACAAAATATTATTCACACAAGTAAATGACACTCTGAATATACATGTTTTAGCTGCTGAAAAAAGGCATTTAAACACACTGCAAAATTTGAAGCTCTTCACTGGTTAGTATTTTCATAACTGATAAGAATTGCAAACAATTAGATTGTAGAGATTTTAGACTGGTATAATTTTTTTATACAACCATTACAGTACAGTGGTGACATTTTGCAGAAAAAAAACTGTATCAACATAATCAAGCAAACATGTAACTTTGTAAAGTGATATGGAGCCTTTATTTTTAATCTTTGGGAAGCATTTTTAATGCGTAAGCTATTTCAAGCATCAAAATTCAAAAATATGTTTCAAACATACAACAGTTCATCAAAAATAAAGAACATTTCATTGGTGCACAAAATTACAACTATTAAAAGCACAATATGCATAATTAACAAATATACCTGAAAAATGTGGAAAACACAGAAGTAGGGATGTATTTTGTGGGCCATCAAAAAAGTTTTATCACAAATAAATATTTGCAACACTGTTGTTACATTATACTTCAATACAGGAAGGCATAACAGCATTGCTTTAAAATACTTAACTTGTTAAATATCATACATTATATAAACAGACATTATAGACTACATCTTGTCATGTCAAAGTAACACTATTGTGACTGTATTACAAGGTATAAAATGGTAATCAGATTAAAACTTTTAAAATGGCCCACGTACATGAAAATACCAAATTTATGAAAATACCAAATTTAATGATTCTTATCAACAACATAGTCATCCGATCCTTTGGAATTACCTCTCCAGTAATGAAGTAATTACGGCAATCACTCTTTAACAAGTATATTACTTTTAATATATAAAACTAAATTAAGATTTTCTTAGCGTAAAAAAGGCATAACTATTAATCAAGTTTTTTTTTCATAAGAACAAAAGTTATATGGTCAAAGTAGCTCAAATCAAAATATGTCATTTTTCAGCTTTATAGTTGAGTAAATGACTCCATGCCCATGAAATGATACAGTTAAACCAACTTATAAAACATTAACCAAATATAGTGCAACCTTTGCAAAGCTGACCTCTGTACAGCAACAACCTCTTTAAAGCAACACCAATAACTCTTTCTAAAGGAAGACTCTATAATAAGTTAACCCTTTCCAGAGCCAGTGATTTTTCTCTCTTAACTGGGAAGAGGCCTAAGCCACTTGATTTGGGAAAAATTATCACTAAAATTGCTAATTTGGGAAGTAAAAAAGCAGGTTTAAGTTTAAATTTTTGGGAAAACTGCAAAAGATTTTAAAGAAAATTTTAATTGGGAAGAGGCCTTTTATCGCAGTCTGTTATATAAGCAGGAAAATCATCGAGAGCATTACCCTCAGCAACAACATTTGTCTCCAAATGATGCCCTGAAGAGATAATACTGTATAGTCAATTGCCGCAATAAATCCATTACTGTAGATTAATCTCTCATTTAACCTTGATAACAATTCTTTGTTGAGACAATTTCAAAAATTTGGAGAATAAAAATTCATTACTTTATCAACAGATAAATATCTTAATTATGTTAATAGAATTTAATTCTTTCTACTACACAATCCCTGCAAAATGATCAACAATATTTTACTTATAATATAATAAACAGCATTTATATCATCATCAATGCCTTAACACTTGCTATACAGAAATGCAATAAATGTATATATAATTTACTCCCTAGAAAAAAACCTTGGCTGTACTTTTTGAAGGCATGGTTTACAATCTTGGAGATATTGCATTTAAATCCCTGATGACATGTTTCAAACTCCCATATCAAATGGAAAATTTCTGAAATAGAATAAAATAATAATAATTTTTTAATTAATGTAGATTTACCTTCATTTAAAACATTATTAAAACAAAAAGGATAGTAACTCTTTTAAAAAACTTTTTTTTCGATTAGGTGAGATTATGTCATATTAAAAGGTCAAATGTAAAATTCAAAACTTGTGAAGTTTCCATAGTAACTAGAAGCATGATAATGCATTCTTTCACCAGTTAAAAGGTAAGTTTCTTGGTAGAACAGTCAAATTTCCTACAACTTGCTGAAAGAGATAGCTTCAATACTTGCAAGATAACAACCTGCATTGCTGAATACAATTCTACATAGATACATCTGTAAGTGGAGAGTGATTGACAATCTACAACCCAAACTCATCATGACGTTCAGGGATTTTTTGACATAAAATACATTTGAAGCAATTAACACTAATCACACCACTTCAAATGTTTTTAAAAATTTTAATATGATCATTTCTGCATTATTCAAGCTTTTTTTCCCTCTGTATAAATATAATATGACAAAGTGATGGAGCCACAAAACTACATTTTGATTTTCATATTTAAATCTACATAATATCAAAAATATACTTACAAATGAAATCCATAATTTCTTAAAAACTTGTTAAATAATTACATTTTTTGTAGATTTTAGTAAAATGAAATAATAAGAAACATTTTTAAAATATCACTGTCTACAGTAAAATTCATGTAGAATTGACTTGATTTTAAACTTTTGGCTGCCAAATGTTTATAAACTGATATTTGCTATATAATGTGAAATTTAAACTAAAAACTAAGAAAAAGTCCAAAAATTTGCATGCAGTAAAAACAAGAAGGTAATGAATCTAATGATGGACCTTAATTGCCCACATAAGTATGAAGTTGCTAGAAATTGATTGCAGATGTAAATCACAAGATCAAATTGAAAGTCATCCAAGATGAAAGTTGAATTCCACACACACTGGCCATACAAGCTCAGTGAAAGTTTGGTTTAAATAAAAAATTTAAACTCCTTTTATACAGACCATCCAATTTTGAATGAAAGACTGACAGACAAAAAGACAGACATCATCCCAAAAGCGCACATGAGCTATTAATGCTCTGGTGAGCTGAAAACTGATTAAAAAGATACACTTACATTTAAAATCTAATTTAACAAGTATTAAGAAACATCTTCCTGACTTTTTCTCACTAATCTTGAAACAACACGTCTGAATTCTTTGTTTTCCTCCCTCCACATTTTCTGAAATATTTCAAATAAAGTTAGACCATGGTTTATCATTATACATGTATTCAAAACACATAATTATCTAAGTTAAAAATGAACATCAGTTTCATATAAAGATTATATGGTAAATTGCTAATATATCTATAATGAATTTCTTTACATTTCACTTTTAAGATAATATATGATATCTTCAATACTTGTGAAGTTGCATGCATGTAGACGAGCCAAAATATTTCAAAATCAAACTAAAGAAATTACTACAATTTAAAGAAAAGTAAAGACATTTAAGATTAAATATCAATTTACATATTTTGTGCGATTAATGGATGATTTTGCTGTATTGATAACCATATTTCTACTGTGGGGCTACAAGGTATTTTTTTTTACATATTTTGACATTTTTCTGGTAATTTACGTGGATTGTAAGTGCTGTTTGCAATTTGTAAATCATGTTCTTTGTTCACTTAGTAATGTTTTACTTATAAATACATTTTAAAAATTTTCATGAAAATCATCATGAATCTGGAGGCACGATGCTTAAAAAGTCAGTTGATGATGCCATTGTTCATAACAGGAAATAAAAATCTTTTTTTTTATATTGTTAAAATCTCATTTGAAAATACAAAAAAACATTTACCTTATTGTAATTTCATACAAACTTAACGTAACACTTGTCTGACAAAAATCATAAACTTGACAACAATTATGCTAAAATAAACTTTTCTTATTTCATTCACAGCAGACAAAATGGGGCATAATCATTGTCAACTGGTCATCAATTAATTGAAAAATAAATTTGATGCTGCATATCTCCAGCATATAATGTGGAAAACAACCAAGTGTTTGTACAAGACATTATTAGCAAGAATTTAACTTACTGCAGCATCAACATTAGCTGGTGATTCATCATTGGGTTCAGCCAGCATTGAGATTACACTCACAATGATTGTTTCTACAGTGTGTATAGGCAGCCACCTCTCTGAGGCAGACTCATAACCATATTTATCATCTCCAGGCTCGTGAAGAATAGATATACACACACTTCCATCCTTGCCAACTGTAATTCAAATACATGCTGATCATTATCTATGTATCTTTTAATTTCTTCCATTAACAAAGAACATATTAAAAAGACTTGTCAATAGCAAAGATCTGTAACATCCTTTTTGCATTCTGAATTTTGCATTGAATAACAACATAGTTACACTAATCTTTTCAGTATTCATGTTCAACTAATTAGCCGCCATTCCTTCCAACATACAAGTTTAATATGCAGTTTTGCATTTTTATGTATCAAATTTATCAATGTGTCAATGATTTTAGGTAGTTCATATTGAATAATTTGTGTACATTTTACCATAAATAATTGAAATCCTTCCGATTATCTTGACACGTTTGATGTTAAGATAAGATATTTTCAAAATCTTGTCTAGCTGAGATAATGATTGCAGATCTAGTTGTATGATACCTTTTGGTGTTATATCACACAGCCACAGCTTCTACCAGCCGCTGTATGCCATTTTATGTGCAGTAATTGTAATAAGTGGTATGATTCAAATATTTACCTCTCTGACACTTTATGACTTGCTTTCATTATGGATAATGCCAGTAATCATGAAGTGTTAGTTAGTGAATAAAAAGTGCTGTGTGATAATCACATGGGATATATTCACTTTAATCTGGCCAAGTTCTTCTGTTTTCTTTTTGTTAATCAATTTGTAATCCACTTGAAAACATTAATATTTGAAATTTTGCTTGTAAATTCAATGTGTCTAAGTTCTTATGAAAGTCCATTTAACTTCAATTTACCGAAGTTCTACTCACTGTTCTTAATAGGCAAATTGATAATTAAACATAAAGGTTTTGTTTCTTAAAATTGTTTTATTCCCCATATGCAGTCAACATTAAAAAAAAAGAATATGTAAATAAGAATTTAGTAAACAAATAAATATTGTTAGTTCCTGTTAACTTACTATTTGGATGAAACATCTTGGTAATAAATCTCATCTTAGGTGGCTTCTGGGGATAGTCTTTTGTGAATGTCAGTTCTGCTTTGAACATACCACCTTCACTGAAAATTAAAGTATAAAACTCATTAGTGATTACCCATCAAATAAGCCAAGTGGGAAATTATTTGAAGAAGATTAACTTGAATAATTTCATTGTTCAATATAAAACTAGCAATAGAATAAAATATGCATGCTTTATTAAAAAATTTTCGGCAAATGACACTACTGGACTGGAGAGCAAAATGAAGCATTTTAATGTTATATGACATCTAGGAACAACAATTTATTTGTCAATTAATTGGCCAATAACAAAATTAGGATGATACTGACACTGTAGTTTATGACAATATGTTAAACCTGGCAGAAATAACTGACAAGTCACTATAATATTTTGAGATAACTTTCTGTCTATCAGTCAATTATATTTTTCAGTCAATTATATTCATCAACAAGAGCCATGTCAACATGGCCATTCCCCGCCGAATGTGTTTGCTCATTGGAAGAATGTATATGTAGTAGAGCAGAATAATTCCATTTTAAGAGGTCTTTTGATAATGAAAACTGATGGCTATAGTGATTACAGATTTGAAACCTATGTGAATACTGATGGCTGAAAATAACAAAGGGCAATAACTGAAAAATAATGCAGGGTAGGTTATCATTCTTGTGTGCTGCATCCCTCCTCAGTAAAATTTATCCACCTATGAAGTTTCAAGTTGATACCTCAAGTACTTTTTGATAAAAAAATTGATTTGAAAAATTAAGTATGAAAAATAACAAAGGGCAATAACTCAAAAATTATAAAAGGTAGAGTTATCATTCTTGTGCACTGCACACCTCCTGAGTTAGATCTATGCATCTATGAAGTTTCATGTTGATATCTCAAAGGCCTTTTGAGTTATGCTCTGGACAAAAATTATTTTTGAAAAATAACAAAGGGCAATAACTAAACAATTATGCAGGGTAGAGTTATCATTCTTGTGCACTGCACTTCTCCTCAATGAGATCATTCCACCTATGAAGTTTCAAGATGATACCTCAAATACTTTTTGAGATAAGCTCCGGACAAAATAGTATGAAAAAGAACAAAGGACAATAGCTCAAAAATTGTATAGGGAAGAGTTATCATTCTTGCGCACAGCATTCCTCCTCAATAAGATCTATCCACGTATCATGACATTTCATGTTGATATCTCAAACAATTTTGAGTTATGCTCCACTTGGGTGAAAAATTAGGAATGAAAAATAACAAAGGGCAATAACTCAAAAATTATGAAAGGTAGAGTTATCATTCTTGTGCGCTGCACACCTCCTGAGTGAGATCTATGCACCTATGAAGTTTCATGTTGATATCTCAAAGGCTTTTTGAGTAATGCTCTGGACAAAAATTAATTTTGAAAAATAACAAAGGGCAATAACTCAAAAATTATGCAGGGTAGAGTTATCATTCTTGTGCACTGCACTCCTCCTCAATGAGATCCATCCACCTATGAAGTTTCAAGTTGATACCTCAAATACTTTTTGAGATAAGCTCCGGACAAAATAGCATGAAAAAGGACAAAGGGCAATAACTCAAAAATTGTATAAGGAAGAGTTATCATTCTTGCGCACAGCATTCCTCCTCAATAAGATCTATCCACCTATGACATTTCATGTTGATATCTCAAACACTTTTCGAGTTATGCTCCACTCAGGTGAAAAATTAAGTATGAAAAATAACAAAGGGCAATAACTCAAAAATTATGAAAGGTAGAGTTATCATTCTTGTGCACTGCACACCTCCTGAGTGAGATCTATGCACCTATGAAGTTTCATGTTGATATCTCATAGGCTTTTTGAGTTATGCTCTGGACAAAAAATTAATTTTGAAAAATAACAAAGGGCAATAACTCAAAAATTATGCAGGGTAGAGTTATCATTCTTGTACACTGCACTCCTCCTCAATGAGGTCTATCCACCAATGAAGTTTCCAGTTGATAACTCAAATACTTTTTGAGATATGCTCCGGACAAAAATGTCGGACGGAAGGATGGACATTCTTACCAGAGCTACATTATGGGGTTTTCTTTTGTTATTTCTTTTGTTCTTTTTAACCCCACAATGCAGGAAATAACCCCACAAGAGAAACGGAATGAATGACATCAAAGACATCTATTGTTATGAGAACAATAGACCACACCCCATAATGTAGCTCTGGTTTGTACGGAAGGTCGGACGGAGACTATTTCTATATCCCCCGCCGCCTTTTCGGCGGGGGATAATTAGCAGATCTATATAAAGTCAAGATTCTGGTGAAGAATGAGCACATGGCATTTCAGCATTTTTACTTAAATGTATACCTATTTTGGGCTGGGGGAAACAGTCTTTATTCAGCTGTAAAATATAGGAGAAAATCATCACTACACTAGATGAAAGATCACAATGCTTAACTTGTGCCTTTACTGCTAACTGCAATCAAAAAAGTTCTTTAACCATAAAAGCCAATTTATATACAAAATTAACAAACACATTTATAGAAATTAGACAAAGACAATTTTAGGTACTTACAACAGTGTGTCCTGTGGTCCAATGATCACTACCTCCCAAATATACAGGTCATTGTCATCTTTCAATCCAGCTGAAAATCCTTCAACAGGATTTTTGTTCAGGTCTGGAAAAAAAAACAATTACAACAATCAGTTACAGATTCACTTAAAATCTTTAAAACATCACCCTACATAAACGCAGTTTGAGTCACCTAGTCTTGTTATCTTGATATATCACACCTCTCATCCGGAAATACTTTTGTAAATGAAAAAATTTACATTACTGCAATTTTCCTATTTTAAGTAATAAAGGTTTTTTGACATATATTCTAAATAAAGCATAAAATGCTTCAATATTTAATTGACTTGAATTGTGCTTCATTTTTATTTAGTTCTGTAACATGGTCTGCTTTGTTGAGGAAAAATTCAAATAGATATCAATTCTTAGTATGTTGTTGTAGAATAATATCCAGTTTTGAAAAAGGGGATAAATATGATAAATAGCTTTGGCTCAAGCACATATGTGTAAGAATTTGAATGCACCAAAAAGATGACTATTTAAAATCAAGTAATCCAACTTCTCTTCTTTAAAGATTTTTATTAGATAAAGTCAAGTCAAACTATTTCAATACAACTAAGAACAATCAAACAAACACATATTCAAACAGTTGAGTCCTTTTTTAAGAAAACTTCCAAATAACAACTCAATTTTCATTCTTGTTCTCAACAACCTGACATTATCATACAACATAAGTTCATTAGACTAATTTAAAACCTGTCACATAACAACAAAAAGCGAAGTTTACAGACTTAAAGAGAAGAGGACTTCTCAGAAAATCTTGAGTATATATGTGATTTTACTAGTCTCAATTATTTTAGTTTTAAGTTTTAATAGGTGTATCAACTATCAGTAAAGCCCTGGGTTGTTCTATCAGGGCATTTGACACCTTTTAGGGACAGGTACCCATACCCTCAGGAAGGGGATTTTTTCGCGTTGTATTATATTTTCATATCATATGTATTTAACTCATTAACCGCATGAACATTTTGTTAAAAACAGCTGTTATCATTGAAAAGTCTCCAGTTACAAGTTCAAATTGCTATAAAACTATAAAAACTGCTTCAAACTTGGCACAAATGTTGACTGGACCTTTGCCTTTGTAACAACATGCTCAGTTGTAAATTTTCTGTTACCATGGCAAAGAGGGGACATCTCAAAATTGCGAAAAATCACTATTTTGCATTGATTTTTTCCATCAAAATAGATTTCAAAGTGCTACAACTTCTCAATGGAATGATCTAGAGTCAAAGTCTTTTCAGTGTTGGTTACACATTACCATATGATCGACCTTGGGTCATTTTTAGCCTCTCACAAGTCCAAAATTTTCTTGGCCATGAGGGGGGCTGCTGCCCCCTTCAAATCCCCCAGACAGCAGGGGGCACATCCCACTTATGGCAACCCCCTAAGGTATCTTTTGGATAGGGGGTGGCGCCGAAAAAAGCTCACTGTTTTAAACAACATTTCTCAAACAAAAACAAGTGTTGGGGGCTTAAATAAGGCATTTTTTACCATCTGAGACAACAAAGGGGGGGGGGGGGAAGGTGTATCGAGTTATGGGTTAATTTATTTTTTATCACACTTTTTTCATTGCATTATTTCCTACCATTGGTTTCAATTGTTAGTAATTTTCCTAGCTGTGGTCCTTTCATGTACATTAGTCATTATTGTTTTGATAGCAGTGACAGCATGGTGTCTAGTATTGTATAATCTTGTAAAAAAATTTAATCACATCGGTAATTTTCATTTCATGTTGACTATGTCTTTGTTTTTAAGGGCTTATACATACATGTCAGTTATGTCGTTGCAAATGACGATGTCCAAATTTTAACAATTAATCTCTTACAACCAAGCGTACATGTACTTACTTTCCATGAAAATCATATTAAAAAAAGCCTACCCACTGACAAACTGACCTTGTAAACCTGGGTCGGCAATAGCAAAAAAAGATATATTTTTAAAGGGCGTTTGGTAAAACAATTGTTTATGCCCCTTAAGTGTGAGAATTTCAAAGTAACAGAACTTTTATATCAAATTTATATAATTGTAAAAGGATTAGATTTTTATGACTGTTTATTTCTTCATTTTTCATGATGTGTTGAAATATCATTATTATTATTGATTAATGCAGTATTGTTTTTTTTAGCAAAACATTGTTAACAATTACAACGTCATGTATGGGTAAGATTAAATTTACTGAAGTATCTCAAAACATCTCAGCGATTTAACATTTACAAAAACCAAACTTTAACTTAAGTTTGACATTTTTAACAGCTGATTGATGTCCGCTGAGGGGGGGAAATAGAAAATATGACGCAGAATTGATATCGATTTTAAATCCATCTTACCAGCTAACTGTTTCCTCAGCAGTAAAGCTGATTGATCTTGAGCCATTGTTAGTGTATTTTAGTGTACAGTATTCACACGAAAATAGAAGGAAACAAGTAAAGAAAAAGGAACAAAAACTTCTCGACGCAGGCGCAGATGAGAAATACCGCTGAGGTATATGTCCGATTGATTCCAAATACACGTGCAAGGGAGAGTACTTTCTTTACACCACTAAATATGTCCATATGTAGGTTTCAATCTACTAAATTAACACCCAGAATGTTTGGACCGAATTGACCCTCATCAATTGCCATTTGACCCTGCCCATTTCTTGCATATATCAATGACTTGCTAGAATTGAAACAGTCAAAATAAACAATGTTATTATTTGCGGCATACACTACAGTACAGTACTCAGTACAGTATAGTTTACGTGACAATCGAGGACCAAACAGACACGGACAGCCTACATAAACTAGGACTTTGGGAACAGGACTTCGTTATGGAGTTCATCCGAAACAAAGTTTAGCCTTAGGGCTTAATATTATCAGGAAATAGAATATATTCATCAATTTTCTTGCATACTCAAGAATAAAATCATTTTGTATCCTAGATGGCAGATGTTGACCAGTAGGCCTAACGTTTGGCCATATTTTGCATCGTTGACCCAATGAAGAATGTCAACAGGTTGGCCAGATGCCAGTTTGCTAATCGGGCAACGTCGGCCCAACCGTTGGTAAAGAGTTGACCCAAAAGTTCATTTGCTACTAGTATTGTTAACTAGCTCATAAAATGTGAAAAAACAAAGAACAGAAGGAATAAGAAATAAACCGTGACTAAACTATTTTTTATACATATTTTATATCAGCACTACAATGACACAAGTTTGCTTCTTTAAAAAGAAGCATGCGAGAGGTCTTTTTGCTGCTGTGGAAGATTTGTTTAATTTGAAAATATTTGGAAATAAGACACAACGAATGGTTATAAATTACAATTATTTAACAAAATATAATTTATTATATAAATTGAATATATAGTATCATAATGAAAGTTTGTTTACACTTCATTTTTTAATGTTTTGAAAGATTATATGCTGGAGAAATGGATTTTTTTCCTTGACGCATTAGGGATACTTTTTAAAGAAAGAAAACTAAATTTAGAATAAATGTATATTAAAAGTAGTATCAAAATAAAAGTTTCTTGTAAAATTCAATAAACAAATTTTCGGTTAATGTTTTGGTAAGTATATGAAAACATTTCCTCTACATTTTCCAAAACGGGCAGTATGTAAGATAATTTTAAGTCCAGGATTTACATAAAAATGTTTTATATCATTTGATTGGAATAAACAGGATATAAAGCTGCATGCCTCCTACCACAATATTTTAAGAAAATCAAACGTGCGTCAAATGTGTGCCACTTGCGCCAAAATATCCCCGTTGCGTTACTTAGTCATACCAGTTCAAAAGAACTTTGTACACGCGGTACACGGTTCACTCGGTCGTATATTAGTGCATGGTGTTAATGTAGCTATAATGTTCACTGTTACTATTTATCGTTACTGTTACTATTTATCGGAACAAGAAATAGTAAAACGCTATTAAGAAAACAATACTGTAATCGATTTATACAGTTTAAAAGATTAAGACGGAATGAAACATCCACAACGTAAATAATATTTTCGGATTTTTCTTTGTACCGATCGATTCGTTCACTTCGATGTTCCGTAACGTACCGGAAAACGGTGTTTAGCTAGGTTTTCGAAAAGGTCAATTTTTCGTTTAAGTTAAGTCGTATTTTGAAACGGAGCATGCGCAAAACAAATTTTGTAGACTGCTCCTAATGGTTTTAAGCTGTAAATGAGATTCATTTACTACAATCAGATACGCAAAAATGGATGCCGCCAGCAATCAGTCTGAACACTATGGAGAGTAGTCCAACTAATTAGACTTGTCAAAGAGACACCGAGATAATTTTGGACGGGCGCTGTCTTTTTCCAAGTCCAACCACGAACTGCATTTTTATGCACGGACGCTTCCCAATTAGAAGTTGTTGGGAGCGAAAACTAGAAAAGTTTCAAAGAAACGGTCTACATTACCTGAAAGAGAATCGTTTTTTATGCAAGGTTCCAAATTATCATACTTCATAGTCGAACAGAAGTCTAAATATTCCACTTTAATTTTTTTAATCGTTGAAAATTATTGAAAGCGGCCATATTGGAAAACGGTGTCATGGTAAAATTGTAAACACTGGTAAAATCCATGGTGTAACACAGGTATCGGCGGCAATCGATTGTATTTGCCAAGCTTTATTATACAATTTGTTTATGTTATTTATATGAATTATTGCAGGAATAACTCTTTTATTCACACACAAATATTTCAGCATTAAAAAGAGAATGTGTAAAGGAAATTATGATAACGTTACTTAGAAATTAAATAGTTTATGATGTCCGATGTCAGATCATACTGCATTTAAGTCCATTTAAATTGTCAAATTAGATATTATTAAGTTGGATTTTTAACATCTGTGATCATTAGGTGAAATTTCTGAACTACCTTTTTATTTTATAACCCTGCCATGATTTCCTACAAGTACATACGAAAATACAATGTAATTCTAGGTACATCTTAATGAATTATTATTATACTATACATGATGGAGCAAAGAAGAATTTCAATTTATATTACACTCCATATCAATTTCTAGTTTATTATCTTTAAAAGAAATTGAGGACGGTTGTGTATGGGAAGAAGTTCAAAACAACCAAAATAACTTTAAAACTCTGAAAAAAAATCTTAAAATTTCAAACTATAAAATGGAATTTCAGACAGTCCTCAGTAAAATATAATTGTCGCACAGATTTGACGGGGTTTATGATAAAAACACAGCAAGCGGAAATTTAGTGACCGTTATTTAGATGTTGAATAGCATAACAATGTAAGACAGATGGGAGAAATGTTGGAACGACTGTCGCAAAAGGCACCAAAACCTCTGATACCCATTAAAAATTCCATGTTATCTAGTTCCCGTTGAACGGCACCTCGAATGTGTCACATTGAAAGTTCCATGATTACCGCCGTATTATGTACACATCTGTGGATGTTGATTAAAAATTTCAACATTATTATGTTTAAGTGATCAATTCTGTTTAAATCGGCGAAAGGGAGCACTTGAACCTACCAGAGCCGTCTTTGGCACTCCTGTGTATTTATGTTTCGATTTTGCAGTTTCAGGCGTTTTTGGTGGGTTTTTTTGGAGGGTGGATACATGAATGTGGATAAGTTTTTTTCTGTTTCTTTGCATTTCTTTGCTTGCTTGCCGAACCTTGTATTGATAATCATTATCTGTTTGTTACGGTTCGGTATACATGTATACAATATGATAAACAAGATGAACAAGGAAAGGCGGCGTTCAATGAACGCAAACCCCACACGACCCAGGAACATGAACCATTGGCAAGGAGCCCAGGAGGATCCTAAATTAAAACGGGAAAGGGCGCAAGGGAGAGCACGGTCAGGCTTATCACTAAAATGTAACTGAGAAGGAAATCAAAGAAAATAAATAAATGAATGATTAATAGGACCACAAAGTTAACGAGCACAGGGGAAGGGGATAGGAAATTCGGGGAGGGGGCGAAATAAAGAAATAAAACTAGGGGCAAAGGGAAGATACTTACCAAAGACGAAAAAACAACAAGGGACACAAACAAAAGTGTCACCAAAACAGTATGAAACAGGACCACTAAGTTAACGGGCACAGGAGAAGGGGATAGGAAATTCGGGGGAGGGGGCGAAATAAAGAAATAAAACTAGGGGCAAAGGGAAGAAACTTACCATAGACGAGAAAACAACAAGGGACACAAACAAAAGTGTCACCAAAACAGTATGAAACAACAAGACATACACCTTATACATTTATAAGTCTCTTAATCTGTTCATTTGAAAATTCTGATCTTCTCAATGACTTTTTTTTAATATCCTCTACTTAAAATTTATTTCAATTAAAATATGTGACCCTTCCTTTATAGTTACACAGCATATGGCTGGATCACAATAAAGTTCCTTTTTAGTAAATTAATAAAGTATGTCAAGAAGACATTTAACTTTATCAATAGGTTTAATATGGTATTATATATCGGCAATCGGTGAATAAGAGCTCTTGAAATATTATTTGCACAAATACTGAATAATTTGAAGTGTATTTCAAATAGTTTCCTTCAATATTTCTTTTACGTTCTTAATTGTCATATAAATATCCATGTATAAATGAAGTCAGTATTTTATCCGAGAGTGACATTTGGCAGTCATTAGCAGTAAACAAGAAGGCAAACCACCAATTGATAAATGTTGAGTATATGTATTAAAATATTTAAAAAATATTAAACAACAGTACTTGTACAGAGCCTATTTGCGACCAATGCATTTTAGGTTAAATACAATGATACTTTTCAATAGTATTTAATAATGCACACATTTATTAAAAAATAATGAATAGATTTATTTCCCCCGATATTTCGTTTAAGTTAATCTTCATGCGTAACCCACACTTACCTGCTAGACACACTGGTAGCTACTACCAGCTTTCACGGAATCGATTTTTTACGATGACGTCATACCATGTCCGCCGAAGATAGAGTAGACAATACAAATTTGAAATAAATCGCATGTATGCGTTAAGACAGGTACAATCTAATATTTTTTCTAGGAGAAGTTAGTACTAAAATTTATATTCTATTGATCTTTAGAGGTAATTGAAGTTACTTTCAGGTTTAAGCAGTAAAAATCAGTCCAAACTATCGATAGTGTTACCGGTAGATTTTCCGTGCGTAAAAATGACAGTTAAAATTAGGCGTAACGGTTTGACAGTAAGAAAAAAAAGTCTGTAAAATGGGTCAAACCGTTCACGCCAAATTAATTAGGCTATATGGAGAGGTCTGATGACCTCTCCAATAAAGGGCACATCAGACATATTTTATCTATCACGTGGCACGCGATAGCTACTACGTGCGCACGCGAAAGCTACTGTACGCACGCGATAGTTACTATGCTCGCGAGCGATAGCTTAGAGCACGTGCGCACATGGTAGCTACTACGTGCGCACGCGAAAGCTACTATGTGCACATGCGATAGTTACTATGCTCGCACGCAATAGCTTCTATGTGCGCACACGGTAGCTACTATACGTGCGCACGCGAAAGCTACTACGTACACACGCAATCGTTAATTATATGCTCGCACGCGATAGCTTCTACGTGCGCACGCGATAGCTAAGTACTACGTGCGCACGAAAGCTACTACGTACGCACACGATAGTTACTATGCACGAACGCGATAGCTTCTACGCGCGCACACGGTAGCTACTACGTGCACACGCGAAAGCTACTACGTGCACGTGCGTGGCCCCTACGTCGGTCAATTATTACGTGCGCACGATATAGCTATCGCGTGTGCGCATAATAGCTTGTACTGCACAGTAGTAGCTATCGAGTACGCTTGTGGTAGATAAAATATTTCTGATGGCCTCTTTATACCACTGTACGTACAGAACAAATGCTGGTTCCATTATTTATCCAATCAATGAGCACTGTTCATGAATTCTATCTTACCTGAAAAGGTAATCTTTTAAAGCCAGTACGTCTGGTTCGGTAACAATCGTAAAAAATATTCATGTTAATTAATGCAGTGCGAGGTTCGGGCGGTGTTAGAATTCTAGGAAAAACTTGTTTGTTTGAGACATTTGAAATTTCAATAATCGAAAGCTCATTTGAAGAATTCCTTGCTCTCCATTTTAAATGTTCTAAAATTCCCCTCGGTTATAATAGTAGCGACTGGAGAAAGATTAATTATATATACAAGCATAATTATTATGACAAAAGATTACCGTTGAATTATATAGGGATGTATCTTTACTTTAATATGTACGTGACTGATACAGCTCTTCGATAAACAAAAGGATAACCTACTATTTAGAAAACGAAAACATATGGCCGATCAGCAGAATTGATTCAGGCGAGGGAGATCATGCGAGGTATATTTCTGCTAAATGGAATAGACGGCAAAGTTTACAATGCAATGAAAAGTATGTATGAACAAGTACACAGTTTCAAGCATTTGTAAAACATCATGGTTTCATGACTGTAAGTCGCCAAAGGAAGACGTATCGCCGATCGTTTTCCGCAATTTGTAAATTGACCAGAGATATAGATATCTACATCTCTGAATTGACTAACAAAACATGTTAGCTACACTTCATGAAGGTGTAAAAAGTGGCGCGTTTTGATAATTTTTTATACGTTTGCACAATAGGAAACCTATACGGCATATACGAGTAAGATCACAGTCATTTGGTGAAATATCAAATGATAATGTATTTATGGAATTGAGTGTCGGTGACAAATTAATCTTCTTGTTCTAAAATCACCTTAGAAAGATTGTAAAATACTTTGTAAAAGCTTATTGCAGTACACTAAATATCACAGAACTCACAGAATTTCCAGGCAAGCTAATCATCATGTTTCAATGATCAAACTATATATACTATAATAATAAGTTTAGGCAGTTGTAATGTTTTAAATCTGTTAAATCCATTCATTTACTTATTCTTTTGACGTTGAATCTTCTACATGTTTATATACATGACGTTTACCATAAACAGGACGATAGAGGCCCATGGGACCGAGGGATTTGTTTGTTCTGTATTTGTTTTATATTTGTTTTGTAATATATACATGCATCGCAAGTCATTATAATCAATCTTTTTTTTCTTTTTTCTTCTTCTGTCTTGTGTAAAGCAGCGATGCATCAGACCTCGGTTTTTAAGATTGCATGCAAAAGACCATTTTCATCGTTATTGGTGGTGCAGGGAAGCTCTTGTGTCGGGAACAGATTTTAATACACTTTTCAAGACCGCGCAAACCGTTCAGACGATGGTAGAATTTACAAAACCGTAACACACGCGACTGCAAGTCATCACAAACAGGTCCAAACCGTTATTGAAACACAACAAAACAGCTTAAATTTCGTACACACTGTCTTGCCATGAGAACCGGGACAAAAACGGAGCACAACGTTATGAAACTGGTAAAGAACTCCAGGTGCCGAGGAATATGGATGAAACGCATTTTGATCTCCTCGGTTATTATGTTTCGCAATAGACATACAGAAGTATACGGCATGTTTTACGATATTGACATGAAATGCTCTTTTCCTTGAAGGTTAATTATAATATTGCCATATGGTTATGAAGATGTTTTAAGAAATTGTGGATAACGATATCTAGACGACGGACGAATGACATCATGCTGAAACAAAAACACACAATTGGGTACTTTGTACTCAGTTAAGTTAAAAAAAACAGGTTACTCAAACATTTTTCGTTTTATGTTAAGCTTACCAGTGAGATACTGGGTTTCGTCCGTGATATAAAAATCTAGAGAAAGAGTGATCCCTCGGAAGCATAAGTCACAACAAAATTTCATGAAAACTGCAGACTTGTTTTAATTAATTGAGTCTGTACAAGAGGGAATATGAAAAAGTGCAACAACCCTCATGCGCCCGAGTGTGAATACTTGACAGTACGTATGTAAGTACTACTTATGTATATATATATATATCACTCACAGTTTGAAATTATAAGGATTACACAGACTACCGGTACAGACCTGAATCTGGCCCGATTAGGCGGTAATTTTAACGAGGCTAGTAATTCCAGTCCATGGCTGGTTCTAGTTATTCCCGTCCATGGCTGGTTCTTTTTCTTGCATATTATAAATAAATCGTATTTCGGAAAGAAATAAAGAGGACTAATATTTTCATTTAGCACATCTTCTTATGGTAGTGTAAAATTTACAACTTCATTCATAACGTTGCAATGATGTCATTTATTCATAAAAGGCGGACGTAAGACATGCTCTGTACGTAGGAGTTTTCTAGCACCAGTGTAAGCAGTAAAAGCGTCTTCATCACTAACGCATGCCGCTTTTGTGACTTCGTAAAATAGTATTACACGACACTATATTCTGACGTTAAACTTTTATATACATAGTGTAAAGACTCGCTTTTTGTTTTCGTAGTTCAATAAATTTAGTAAAGAATCTAAACGAATAGAGTACCGGTAGTCTATTATTTATCAGAAATTAGAAATGTTTACAGTAAAACGAATCACTTTTCATTCCATTTTCATGTTTGTTGTATTGTGTTGTATTTTGGGCCAGAGGCCTATGTTACAGGAATAAACTTTATCATTATTATTATTATTATTAATAATTCATTACTGTGTTAACATCGACACAAAATGACTTCACGTCAAAATATCAATCGTGCAATACCGTTTTTGCAAAGCCGCAAAAACTGCACGAGCATTCCAGAATTCTTGTTGTGGTGCATTAGTATGATGTCGTAAATTTGTAAATTAGAAGTTCCATTAGGGCCTAAATACCAAAACATAAAGTAACAATCAATAAGATTAAATTAAAAAGAAAGTACAGAAAGGTGATGTTATCTAGCTAGTCATTCAACATAAAGCAACAATTCTAAAATTTTAACATAAAAAGATAGAAATGAAGGATCCTCAATTGTCTACATCTAATGACCAGTGATAACAGATTATACATTTAAATTAATTCTTTGTCTGTCAATATTTTAATCATTAAAGCAATGAGACATAAAATCACCAGATAAACCGTTCAGTTATGTAAACATAATAGGTTTGCTGTATGCAAGGTATGTATATATGTGATGGTATAGAGATAGAAGGATGTCATCCAGATAACAGATTACCTACTTTCACAACCTTACTATATCGCAGTAGCTTACATTTGAAGATATACATGCTTGCTTCAAGATTATTGTCGGCTGTTTTTAGCAAACGCTTTAATTTAAATATTATCACAAGGGCTTACTTTAAAAGTTTTTATGCGTATAAATACTGACTGAGTGAACGGGTACAAAAACGGATACAAATAGTTATATTGGAGTTATATGTTATAAAATAATTTTGTTTGTTCTAAAATAATGGAGACGGACGAACAATTTAAAAATAAAGTTGAACAGTATGTTGGAAGAATAGTTGAGAAGAGTCTGGAAATGGTTAAAACAGAAACATTTGGAGATTTTCATGGAAGCCTGAAAGCCGGAAAGATGGGAAATAAATTCACAGACGTAAAACAGTTTGCCGATTCTCTAGTTAATAGCTGTGTGAAGGATGGGTTACAAGAAATACACAAATTATCAAAATCAAAACCAATTTTATGTATTGGCATTTGCACGCTTGACTTTGTTATAATCTGCGATGAATATCCGATAGAAGATTCTAAAACGCTGGCAATCGGCAATTACTGGGCACGTGGTGGGAATGCATCCAATACGTCAACAGTTCTCGCTCATCTAGGCGCCCAAGTTGAATACTTTGGAACTATGGTGGACAATCAATGGCTAACGTTTTTACAAACAGACTTTAAAGAGACTGGTGTCTGCATTGAAAATTGCATAATACTTAATCATGAAAAACACAAGGCACCAATTGCACCTTTGATAATAAGTAAGAAAAAGGGGACAAGAACCGCCATTCCAGATTTCAATGGTATCGTGGGGGTGACGTATGAGCAGTTTTCTTCATTAGATATAGGAAAATACTCATGGATACACCTTGAATCAAGAAGTTTTGAAGGTCGGACAGATGACATTGAAAATATCGTTACTCGTATCGTCAGATATAATACAGTGAATAATGCTGGTCGGAAGGTGCTGGTGTCAGTTGAACTGGAGCAGCCAAACTCAACAAATCCAGAATTTCGATTTCTGTTCGGAAAAGCTGATATTGTTCTAATTGGCAAAGACTATGCAATTGATGACGGTTATGCTAATAAAGAAGAGACTGTTAGGGGTCTTTACAAACTTTGTAAAGCTGGTACTATACTTGTATGTGCATGGGGAGAGGACGGTGCTGCTGCATTGGTTGATGACAAATTAGAAGTGTCGCCTGCATTCCCTCCGGAAAAGGTGGTTGATACTTTAGGCGCCGGAGATACTTTCAATGCAGGCTTTATTTACGCCTTTAGTAGAGGGAAGTCCGTTGCAAAGGCTTTAGAATTTGGATGCATAGTTGCAGGGCATAAATGTGGCTGCCATGGGTTTTCGTGCGTAAAGGGATTGCAAAGAAAAGTATATTTGTAATTCTACAAAAATAATTAATGAAACAATCTGTGTACAGTGATGAATTTGTGCATGCTTATAAATTACTTTCGTGTTTGTTTAACTATAGCTATGTTTATTAATGGTAATTGTTAATTGCCTCAATCTATTTATCTTGTTATGACATTCAAATGATTCAAGTGTTTTTTCTTTGGCGTTTTTATGTCTAATTAAATTATTGCACGCGCACGACTTACCTAAAATGTAGCGTTTATCACTCAGACAAAAAACAGTTAAGTAAATAGCAAACAAGGCATGTCTGATGAACAATATACATTATTTTTATTCTTGTATAAATTTACTTAATTCATATTGTAAATACTTTGTAAAGTTAACCAAGATAGTTGTTTAAGAAATGTTATGTAAACTAAACGTAAAACAATATTCCATCAATTACTTACATATTGTCAGCTGTCATACTTTGGAACTTACCTTGGCTTTTATGTGTACTTATTCATAACAGTAAAAACAACCGATCTCAAATCTAGTCAACATAATTGTATATACTTGTATAGACTTATAAAGCTTTTCTATATTGCAATATGTGTAATACATGTATTTAAATATTTGAGATATAGAAGTTTATGCCGAACTTAGGGCAAGAAAGCAAATTAATTATATTAAAAATTGCATGCAGTGAGCAATATTTTTTTTCTTCTGTATTTGTTTTTCTATTTTTTTGCGGGGAATGCACCATTGAATAGTTATACCGACATGAAGAACAATTTATTATAAAATACACAAAGGTTCCATTTCCAAGAGTTGGCAAAGTTTGTTCCGCAACGCGTTATCATTACCAAATTTATTTTTGAGAAAATTGACCTTCACTGTCTTCACAGTATTTTTTTAGTACAGTGCTTAATACTTTGTGAATAAATCATTTAAAACGAGAGCTCCACTGAATCGGGCAAAATCAATTTGAAGAAGGTATCAGAGACAAAAATATGCCTTCAAGATAGATATATAGCACATTAAATTAATGATGACCTTTTCTGTTGAATTGGAAAAAAACAACATTTTGAGGAAATAGAATATTAGCCATAGAAGTAATTGAACATATAAAGGGGCATAACTTTGTCAATGATAAATTGATTGCACAAAAAATCAAACTTGATCCATATTTTGACATATATAACATACTCGTACATGCATGCCAACTATAAACACAATCATTGAAATCTTCCTCAAACGTTATCCTGCTGAAACCATTAATTTCATAGACAATTTGCTTCAAAGGGGCATAAAACTTAATAAACTGATTAAAGCAAAAATTGGACTTTACCTGTATATTGCTATAATAAACACAATACAACCATTGAAATCCATTAAAAGTGTCCTGAAACCATAAGTCAACGGACAAACGGTCGGTCAGACGGACGTTCTAACGAAATAGTACTAATGTTGCTACTCCCTTTTGCTTTTTAGCTACATACAGGGAAGTATCTGTATAACAGCTTACGGAATAAATGGCATCGATGAAAAAATATAGTTTACTATTTTTTCTGTAGCCACATAAGTATCTTTTCGTAAGGTCGGACGAACAGACAGACAGACGGACATACATGTACAACACCATAGCATAAAAAGTCCCAAAAAAACTCAAACAGATAAAACTAATCAAAGAAATAATGCGTCAGTAGAAAACTTTGGAATGTAAATTCTGTTTTAGTAATCATCCATACCCAATTTCAGTACCTATAGTAAACACATGTAAACGAAAATAAAATATACAAAGAAATGATATGTCAACTGTAAATAGACAAGGAATTAGTTGTTTGATGTTTTTACAAATGTTCACTCAAACAATATCTTCGTTTATTCTTCGTGAAACGAAAATGGTTGCTTGGATTTTACTGTAAGGCGCTGGCGAGATTTATTTACGAACACACCCCTTAAGAATTCTCTATATAGCAACAACCCGTATCGAGACCTGTCGCATATTGTGCTTCTGGCATCGTGACCAAAATACACGTGTTATAGACCGGGCCACGTGTCAGCCCAAGCCACTCCCTTGTCACATGTATAATATCCAATAAGTCCTTCATTTTCAAAAGGGTCACCGGTATCTATCACATTTCTCATGTTTGTTAAGTCATTCAATATCTGTCTATCTAGTGGCTTTCCTGGAACTAATCCGCCGTGTACAACCAAAGCATTACTTAAGGCACGGTATAGATAAAGTATACGGTAGAGCATTTAAAAAATCAATATCATCGTCGTTTAATCCTTTTATCCATTGATACTTATCTGGAAGTTCATACTCATGGTCAAGTTTGAAATTTTTATGTAGGCCTAGAATTTCCACGGACGGCAAAAGCATTACAACTGAGGGCCATTTCTCTTATTGCACGGACAACCTCGACGCTGTCTGGGCCTTTATTAACTAGATCCTCTACAAAGATGAATATCGGATAATTTTCAATGCGTTTGGCGTTGTCTATATCATTTCACAAATTTCGTCGTGGAAGCAATGTATGTCACCCATTACACAAACTGCTCGGTCTCCTATAAGTGAATCGGGGGTTTCTAGGTGACAGATAGTAGGTAATGGTATATTATGCTTGTTCTGTCGGATATTAGAATTTGTCATCACAATGACAATAAATGTGATATCAGTGACGTCATAACTTGATCCAGCAAGAATATCGTTTTTACTTGTTGATAGGAGACTTTCATTTTCAATAAAGAAACGTTAGAAAAAAATAATCGTGTTTATGTAGTTCCAACTGATTTTGGATAAACTTCTTTGGCGTTCATACATACATACATGAATATCTTCAAAATATACCTAAAAGTATTGAAGTTTATCATTATAAATCAATAAAGTTCTAGAACATGCAGTTCATTATTAAATGAAACTAATATACTCAGTAAATGATTTCCGTCAGACAAGCACGTCATGGAATAAGAATTTATCTTGTTCAGAACAATATTATTTAACGCGAATAAAGCAATATCGGACTGTCTGTTTTTCTTGTCTTAAGCGGACTTTAACAAATTCTAATAAAATTTGATCGGTTCACCCTACCGGTTTTCCTGGATCATAACTTATTTTTATAATATCATACTTAATTTCTGAATCAGCAATGAGACACAATAAGACATTAAAACCAATGTCTGAGATCAATTCTCGAAGAGAAATTCGCCTTGCCAGAGAATTGAACCAGCAACCTCTGCAAAACAAATCTAATGCGTTCCATGCTGAACTTACTTGTCTGTTATACATATACATGTTTACACAGATTAAAAATATAACAAAAAGTTCCTAAAATGAAAAGAAAACAACGCCAAAACATAGTTAAACAAACTAAAAAGTAGAGCAGTGAACGTACATGTATGTAGGGAACATTTTATTCACTTAATCTGCGTTATAAATATCATACATGTACATGCATGCATACACTTCTTGCTAAAACACATTATATAATTATGACCACGGGGATAAGAAATGTTTTTGAATATTTGTGTAAAATTGTTAATTATATTGTCGTGCTCAAGAATCAGGTCTCAACCCCAAAGGTCAATGTCAACTTGTATTAAAGTGCATTGATGGTCGTGTCCAGTCAACAGTTCTGCCATTCCGGGTGGATTTTAAAATTCTTTGGCATTGATGTGTACGTAAGACATGATGATGATGTGTCCAGAATCAAGTTCAAAGGTCAAATGACACATGTGAATAGTTTGTCGTCTTTTCTGCATAGCTTTGTCATTCATGGATATATACTTTGAAATAATTATGCATAAATATGTGCTTATGAAGATGATATGTTATTACTAAAATTTAGCTTCGCAGCCTTAAGCATTGTGGCCATACCACGTGACTTGCGGGTACGGTACACGCAATTTTTCACCCGATTTAGGTATGTTTTTTTTATTAAAAACTTTGCTGTTACTCAACCGATTTTGATCAGATAAGGCGCAGAGTACTAGTTATTATATAAGCTACTCACGGTAAATTCTGAAAACCCCTAAATGGTTTTTGTGAACATTCGATGCATAGCCGGGGCCAAGGGGAACGTCACAACAAGCAATTTCTAGCAAGTCGTCTATTTTGTCCACTGTTCATAGGAAAATTAATGCTAAATCTTTTAGATTTACTATGCTAAATGTATCCAGTGAATGCAGTAATGTCTGAGCATGTTTTCATAAAGCTATGTTGAATAGTACGGAACAGGATGGTTTGTACCCGGAGATAGTGAAAGGGTGGACTGTATTTCGGACAGGACAGACAGTGATTATTAATGAAGTGCACTTAAGGTACTGGTTTCCTACTTCATTTGTATATTTGTAGAAGAGGTGCCGGGAATATTACAGGCGCAGTGTATGGTATCGCAAAAAGCACAGACTATAATTAAAGTACATGCAAAAAGAAACTGATAAACTGATACAAGATAAAGAAATTTATTAAATTCTTTATTGTACATATAAAAAATTAAGATATTAGGCATTTAATGTTAAATATAGCATATTAACATATATTAAGTGCATTATGCCACATAAATTTCAACTTAGTGCTATGAACAATACTTTCTGATGCACTCTTTTGGTAAATCCACATGCATTAAACATGATTTACTAATCATTTACCGCCTCCGTGGTCGAGGGGTTAGAGTCGATGACTTCTAATCCAGTTACCGCTCTGGCGTGGGTTCGATCCCCGGGAGATGCTTTAGTAGTTTAGCACGGAGGAAGATAGTCTAGTACTGGTGTAACTCTCCAGGAACGACGGTTAGGAAACTACCCGCCTATATGACTGAAATACTGTTGGGAAAAGGCGTAAAATGAAACAAACAAACAAACAAACTAATCTTTGGAGTCCCGCACTCGTCACCATCTGGTACCAATGAGGTCCATGAGGTTGACTGGTCTAGTATCTTACCTCATTTTATTCGATTACAGTTTGGGATGCAAAATGAATTTTTTTTATATTAGGGATATAATGGACGCATCAACAACGTAATTGTCATCTTATTGTCTTGAAAATAAGTAAATCTTCCGGTCTGATGCAAGTATGTTTTTTTTCTTTTGTGTTAAATGTCATATTTATTTCGTTCGCTGCTATTTAAAAGACTATAGATTATTTGATCATTATTTTGCTAAAGTTTCTACCATTATTTTTATTTATGCCAAGTGTCAACGTAATAAACGCCTATCTATTTAAGAGTTATTTTGTCTATTTTGCCAGCGTTCTAGCGTTTCAAGAGAGCGTTTAGCGTATATCTTTTTGCATGTGTTTTGATTATTTCATATGTTAAAGTTCATTTGTTAACAGTGTAATGTGCGTCCATTTTTTCCAGTGTACGTGCTGGGGGTAAACCGGAACGTTCACCTTGCTGTAAGTGTAGTGTACCGGGCGGTTGGCTACAAAATAAAATCTTGATATTCTTGTTGGTAAATACACATTTTTCCTAAGATATTTATGCGCACGGATTTGAAATATTCATATAAAATTTCTCCATCGGTTTCTTAACCTAATGATTGGATACTAACAAAAAGCAAAACAACAACATTAAAAGCAAAATTACAATCAAAATCTACTTCTTAAATCATTCAAATCTGTATATACTAAGAAACATAATCTCAAAACCTATTCTTAACCAAATATCAATCTTAAGCTAAACCTATCCTTCATCCCCTACATTTACATTCCGACAATCTCATATAATATATTTCTAAAAATACAATTCTTCGAACATTCATAAAAATTTCCTCATTATTCATTAATCATTTATCTTGTAAATATAGCCAGATATTTTAGATTTAACTTCAACCATAATATTATTTCTTATCCGTTTGCCCGAGAGGTCTTACTGAAACAATAGAACATTTCAGTACCAGATCTCTGAGATTTCTGTATACAAGAAAATGCTACTATCATTATGATCCGACTCTTACAAGGACATAACCAAACATATTTCAAATATCTATTTCCCAAAAATACTTCGACTAAAACATTTTTGCAGAGATTTGACAGAAATAGTAAAACGTCTTTAGTGTCAGATATCTGTGATTTCTGTACACTAGTATGTATTTACTACGCCGTTCCATTCTATACACATACATATACAGACTAATTTAAATACCCATTTCTCAAACTTTCTTCATTAAGTTCCACAGAAACAGCAAGATATTTTAAGCACCAGCTATCTGAGATTTCTGTGAATCAGTAAATATAATACTGCTCTGATCTGCCCAAGTTAACTTTTCAGCACTGCGCACGCTCTTTTTATATTGTTGAGGCACCATCTCCGCAGTGAATAAAAACTATGATTTTGATTGGCTAATTAAAAAATAAAACGTTTCTTGATGCTGATTTTAACTTAATGGTCTCAACCCGGTACGGAATTAGACCCAACCCGTTGTAGTCTAGAAAGTAGTTCTTTAAAATTTTGAAGTGGCCCAATTTAAGTCATCTCTAGTTAGATTGGTCATAATTAAAGTGTATTTATTGCATGTGTGTAGCTTTTGTGTGTTATATGATGTGTTTAAAAGTTGTTTTTTGTGTATTCTCCAGGAACTCATTTGTTGGCGGAAGGATTAAAGATGTACCACCCACCAGCAGTCAGGAGTTTTCAAAGTGGTGAATTTAAACTGTGTTACAACAGAGTGAAGATTTCTGAAAAAAGTAGATGGCTAACCTATTATATTTTGGGCCTCATTTGACTTAAATAGTGTTGATGTTTAAAGTTGAAGACAGTATATAATTCATCAAGAACAGTGGAATCCTGAATTAAGCCTCAAATGTGACTGATTTACTATAGAACAAAGAACACGAAAATTCACCGGGCCGTCACCAAGAGGAGAAATTTGAAAAATTGGAACTGGTTGATGGATATGGATGAAACTTTGCATCAGTGTTGTGTTTATGCATAGAAATCAGGAAAATAAAGGATAACTGACAGGTTTGAAAATTTTAAATTTTATTTCAAATTTTTAATTTTGACATTTTAAATTGGGACAGATGTTGTTATTGTTATCTCCCCTTCAAATGTAGATGTCTGCTACTGTGTCAGTAGGTGCAGAAGAAGGGTACAGAGCTTTTGCATGAAGGATTAACCACATTTTATTGAATTAAAACTGTAAAAATACATTTAAAATTAAAAAATGAAATTTAAATTTTGTTTAAAGCAGTTAATAAATTGATAAATTTTATTTTTGCACCCTGTATTTAGCAATTTACTAGATCTATAGCTTATTTTTATAAGATTTATATGGAAAATGATAATTTTTAGAGAAATGCATCTTAAATTATGGATAAACCATGCATTGCAAGAAATTGGGGAGTGCATGTTTTCAGGCTGGTTACATTGGCAAAAAAAGTGATTGGCAAGCTCATTCCAGAGGTCTTAGGGGCCCAAGAAGCACCGGCCCAAAGCACCATAGTAGCCTATTGCTCATATGGACCACACATTATATGCCCTGATGTTTCAGCAAAGTATTGATGCTGAAGTAATCAGATTGTAAATATTCACTATTGTCTTGTATTTCAATGAAGCAGAACTGACAATTGAACAGGACAAATGTGATTTACATGTTGGAAATATAGGCATTTTCAGTGTAGTGAAACTTGATGTTTTGCTGTGCTGCAGAATGTATTTGCTAATATATACATACAAAAGATTTTCTAGTCATTAAACAGTGAGTTTAAGGATAATTGACTCATTTAGAATAACACAGTTGGTGTGATAGTTGTTGTTGTTGTAGCAGCAGCTGCTACAGCAGTTAAATTAGGTTAGGTTTATAATGTCTAAACTGTTATTTCCATGCAGGCATGCATCTTTAAGCACACAATATTTAAGCCTTCCTGTGTGAATTAGCAAATCAAGCCATTGATTAATTAAGAAATTATTTTCTTTCTATTTTGGATATTAGAATAACAGCATAAATGCCTCTTATAATTTCCTTCGACATGTACTTAGTGTTGCATATTTTTTCAGACCATGCAGTTACCAAAGCCGGGGTTTGAGTACAGGACCTTACCTTATACTGGTTAAGATCTATGGAAGAACTCTTTCAGCTCAGTTTGGCAGCAGATTTGTCAGGACAAGTTGAGAAGGTAATAACTTATGTCTAGTTTGAAACTTCAGCTATATATTGACGGCAACGACTCCCAATGCTCGGGCAATATTTGGTAGATATTTTGATGTATATCAGGAGAAAATTTCTCTAATTTTGACTATTTTAACACTTCTCAATGATTTAAAGTGGGAGACAGTATGTGCCATCATTTTTTAGCCTTATTTGTGTGAGAGTTGGCTAATCTTACTTTGTCAGAAGACATAGCCCATGGCGATATAGTAACCTCTTTGCTAAACTTAAGATTACCTCTGTTTGTCTTTATTGATATCTTAAGCAAACAATATAGGGTATATATCTTGGTACTTTACTTTATTTACCATGGTATATAGGTAAAAATCATAATCAGTAAGTTTTATTGCAATGTTGAAGGAAAAAGTTATGAAAAAAGCACATTTAATTGTGATTACTTGTATTTTAACCCAAAATTTCATGCTCTCATTAAAATAAATGGAGTTTATATTACAATTTTAAAGCAATAAGGGCTTAATCTTTCATAAGAATAACTAAATGACATTAGCCGGTAACATCAAACTTTATTTGAAGAAAATCCATTGGCAAAATCAAAAGATATGACAGAATTTGTGATATAAATTTTTGCGTAAAATTCTATTGGCCGAGGCTGATTTTTCGCATGAATTTTTATATTTAAGAAATTGTACTGCATTAATGTAATTTGTTAGAGACATGTCAAACCTATATGAATGTACTTGTATGACACTAAATTACTAGGAAATGAGTATAAATTTTGGCTTAACTTAAATTTTGGATTCATTTAGGTCTCAACCCGGTACGGAATTAGACCCAACCCGTTGTAGTCTAGAAAGTAGTTCTTTAAAATTTTGAAGTGGCCCAATTTAAGTCATCTCTAGTTAGATTGGTCATAATTAAAGTGTATTTATTGCATGTGTGTAGCTTTTGTGTGTTATATGATGTGTTTAAAAGTTGTTTTTTGTGTATTCTCCAGGAACTCATTTGTTGGCGGAAGGATTAAAGATGTACCACCCACCAGCTGTCAGGAGTTTTCAAAGTGGTGAATTTAAACTGTGTTACAACAGAGTGAAGATTTCTGAAAAAAGTAGATGGCTAACCTATTGTATTTTGGGCCTCATTTGACTTAAATAGTGTTGATGTTTAAAGTTGAAGACAGTATGTAATTCATCAAGAACAGTGGAATCCTGAATTAAGCCTCAAATGTGACTGATTTACTATAGAACAAAGAACACGAAAATTCACCAGGCCGTCACCTAATCTGATAAGCTACTGTTACTTGAAATTATTTCGCGTTACTTAAAATTATTTAGCTTATAAACTATGACGAGTAATAAGTAAACAATTCAAAATGTAAACACATTGGATGATTCTCCTAACTTATATCTATTTGACGATAAAAACAACAAAAATACCTACTCTTTCTATTTAGTTAAATTTACAAATTTATTATGCTTTTTTTTCAGATGCAATGATGATTCTACAAATAGGGGAGGCAATCAGGTCAAGTAAAATATACATTTCCGTCACATAAGTCTTGCTGGATGATTGACTACAAGTCTGCATGTTGGTCATCATGGCATGTGTTCTTGCAAGTTGGATCACAAATATCCAAAATGAGTGTTGTTTTCACATGTCTACAATATCGGATACATGCAATAAATGTAGCTTAGATATACTTATTTTGTTTGATATATTTATTTATACTGTTGATACGTTAACATTTTAAACAAATCTTTAATAAACTACTGTTCATTATTATTGTGTTGATTTGTTTGCTTCTATCTCCTAACTTGTTTTTTATCTGACGTTTTCAGACAGTATTTTAGTCCTGAGTATTTAATTTGTCAATTCATAGGTCAGAATGATGTACAAAAATGGCCGTATTTGTGTTTTTTCAAAAAAAAAGGGGGGGGGGCGTCTGTGGCCGAGTGTCGTTGACTTCAAACCACTTGCCCCTCACCGCTGTAGGTTGGAATCCCGACAGGGACTTTGGAATCTTTCATGTGAGGAAGCTATCCAGCTAGCTTACGGTTCTACTCGGGTGCCAGTTCGTGTCTGAAATAATGCACGGAAGGGCATCTGAGGTCTTCCTGGAACATCGCTAAATGACATATACTGTGTCGGTGTGACGTAAAACCCAAAACAAACAAAAAATTCTGTATATTTCCTTTATATTTGTAGCATACTAGGTCCGTATTTCCCAAGTATATGAGTCATATACAGACTTGAAAAATCCCGTATTCTGCAAGAATACATTTCCGTATATTTCCTGTATATAGCTAGTATACTAAGTCTGTATATGTATGTATACTAGTCATATACGAACTAAAAAAATCCCGTATTCTTTGAATATACCAGTCCGTATATCTGTAGTATACTATGTCCGTATTTGTATGTATATGTGGCATATACTAAATTTAAAAAAAATCCCGTATACTAAACGTATACGACTCCGTATATTGTATGTATATCTGACGTATACAAAGCCCGTACTTGCATGTATTCTTAACATATACGAGGTCAAATATTCCCGTATTCTATTAATATACAATCCCGTACATTCCTGTATTCTAAAAATATACAATCCCGTACAATTCCGTATTTTATAAATATACAATCCCGTACATTCCTGTATTCAAGAAATATACAATCCCGTACATTTCCGTATTCTATAAATATACAATCCCGTACATTCCCGTATTCTATAAATATACATACCAGGTATTTCTTGTATTCGACCATTACCACTATTTTACAAAAGAAAAAAACCTTGAAAAAATACATATACAGGTTTTCACTCCCTGTATACTGCACGTGTAAGGGTTCATATCCAAACATGTATATGGAGCATATACGGAATTCCGTACATGCTTGGTCAATATACGGACTTCCCGTATACTCTATGTTCCCTATACGGACTCGTATATTTGGTCCGTATATTAGGCTTATACGTCCCGTACACGCCCGTATATGTTGAAAATACGGTACCGTATATTCCCGTATATTAGTGTCTTTTTCGCAGTGTCAAATCAAATCAAATCAAAATTTATTCCTTGTCGGTGTGCATATAAAACATCTCACAAAAACATAAGCTATTTATATAGCTTTTAACCAACATGTCATATCGTTTATAGTGATAAATAGCAACATTGAAGCCTCTATATTACTGTTTCAATAGAGTATACTGTAGTCAAGAAACAGGTGTTTCGAAAACTGATTTCTCTATTGTTTTCCATTTTCGCAAAGCATTTAGTCTAGCATGTTGCCTGGCAAAATATAGCTCTAGTGTGAAGGAACGTCAATTCTTCCTTTTCCCATCAATAACTCGAGAAGAAATAAGCATAGGTTTGTGTAACTTGTAAGGGACATTGAACGTTGCCAGAAGACGACCCCTATTAATTTTGAGGTCAGTAGGTTAAAATCAACATGGTCCTGGTGACAAAAATAAGACCATTTTGTCAAGCAATAATTTGCAGTGCTTTAATTTACAAAGGTAATGGTTTACAGATGTTTATTTTTGATCAGTAAAGCCTCTGTACTGTTACAAATTTTCCCTAATCGTATAAATAAAAGTTAACTGTTTTATTCCAATACGAACTTATCCTCACTAGTTGTTTTCATTTCTGGATTAAGTTGATAATAAATATCACGCCCAAAGACCTTTTTCTCATATTTGAGTTTATTGACTTCTACAGTGAGCAAATTGTTGGCTGTAATCACTTTTTCTACTTGTAATTCGAGCATTTCAAATTTTTTATTGTTCTCCATTTCTGCTAAATTTATTTTTTGGAGTGCATCTATATACTGTCCCTTTACTTCATTCAGCTCTTGTAGCAATTGGGTGTTTTTCTCCTTTTCTTCAAATGTCTTTTCCCGTTCTTTATATATCTGATTTTCGTATCTCAGTTTTTCATACTGTAATCTCATTTCACAACGTTCTTTACAAGAAATCGGTTTTTCCTCTGATTTGATTCGCTCTAAATCCTCTATGTAGGTAGATGTATCAAATCCTGGCTCCTTCATTCCCTTAATATGGTCACTTATTTCTGTCAGAATCTTATCGCAATGTTCTCTTTCACATGCAGCTTTTGTGGAATGAGCCGTATCATTACGTATTTCTTTGAGTTTTACAATTCGTTCACTAACTGGAATTCCGGTATCATCTGTTTCATCTAACTTAAACATTTTTGAGTCAACTAAAGCGTACTTAAACTTACTTATGTCCCAGTGGTAATTAACCCACTGGTCATCATGATATGTGTTAAGTATTCGATTTCTCTTGTCTCTTTTCCTTCCCCGTGCACTTTTTGACAATTCTCTCAAACTATTTTTGAAAAATTCTTCTTCTTTACTTCGAAACAACTCGACGCTTTCTGCATTTCCTGTCCATGGAGTATAGGGGTATTTCAGGTCCAATTTGGTTTCGAAATATTTTTTCAGACACGGCAGAACAACTGTTTTCTCACTTCTTATAATTTTGTAGAAACTGAATTCTTCCTCTTCCATACTACAATACAACAAAATAAGTTTTGATTGGAAAGAGAAAAAGTGAAAATCATAAATTCAATTGAAAATTGGACGCAATGAAATGGATCATATCTCACGGTCCTAGCACCAGGTGTCAGCTGTAAAAAGTTGCCCCGTACTTTACCTAAGTACTTTTATATTTTTCTGACCCTTCGAGATCAATTGAATACTGCTTAAACCTGCGCTGGCGGACGTGAGATGTGTTCCACTTTTCCAGTACTGTTTTTTTTTCTCTTGAACAGATTTAATCAAACAAACTGGATCTACAATTTCATGTAATTTTGTTGCTTTTCTGCCGGTAGTGACCCCTTTCCATTTTCATTTAATTGACTACAGAAGGCATCTACGGCGTTTAGAGTCCGGATTACCCGTCATGTGTGATCTATACATCAATGATAATTTTAAATTTGGCAGATCCTTCGAAAGCAATGGATGCTCCCCGAACCTGCACAAATCTTGTAAATGTATTCTATACATATAAAAGTGTTAAATATCTATTTTTAGCACAAATACCCAGGAGTGACAGACGGGACTAAACTCAAAATGAGAGGACAACTCAGGATATCTACTTATCAAATATCAAATCATCAGTCGATAAAGGCTATATGAGCAAAATTGTTAAAATCTTTTTTTTTCTCAGTCACATAACCTTGACCTTGTCCCAAGTGACCAATTCTTGTCCAACCAAAGTTATAACACCAGTAAAGATATTTACCTACTGAATAAGGACAAAAATAAATCAATATATAAAGACAGTATAATCAAAAGATATCTAGGACCATCCAAAGTATTTATCTTGAATATCCTTTATGTACTTTAAAGACGTTTTCGGTAGTTTTTTTTGTGCGCATCGTAAAGCCCTTCCCATTGTATACGCACCGGTCTCAAATATCGAAAAATCGTCAGTAAGACCGGTGTACACAGTGATCACAGCTAAGTTTTGACCTGAAACCATGTTGGAAATTGCTGATAATATTATGCTTGTCGTAGAAACATGATATTGGAGACAAATATATGCTCCAATACAGGTTAATGATATAGGCCTGTAGTAACTAGGCTTACATTTTGGGCCTTTCTTATAAACAGGGGCAATGACTGCGTGCTTCCAGTCATGAGGGACAGTAGCCTAATTAATTCTGCGTGAACGGTTTGACCCATTTTACAGACTTTTTTTTTCTTACTGTCAAACCGTTACGCCTAATTTTAACTGTCATTTTTATGCACGGAAAATTTACCGGCAACACCATCGGTAGTTTTATTAGATTTTTCCATTTAAAATAGCAATAATTGTTCTAATTTTTGCTACATATACACAGTAAACACACTTTCACACAATATAAAAATAACTGTGAAATACCTTTGTATCAATTATTATGCAATTTATTTCTCAATTGTTACCAAAACATTTCCCAATACAAATGGCGGATGACGTCACTCGTAAAAATTTGATATCGTGAAAATTGGTAGTATAATTCAGGGTGTTTAACCGGTAATGTTGAAGTTCGCGTCTGTTAAATAGAACTTGTGTTTTTTTGTTTTTTTAAACGTTTCTTTTAAATTCTGCTATTTATGTAATTACAAAGATTATACAGATTATGACATGTTCCAGAAATGTGATATTATACATTCCGTAATGCTGCATGTAATCATAATTACAGGCGATCTATGTGCGAGGGGATTATAATATAGATCTAATAATATAACAACCATAAATCCATTTTGGAAAAAAGACAGCGCCCGTCCAAAATTATCTCGGTGTCTCTTTGACAAGTCTAATTAGTTGGACTAGAGGGACAGTACCAGATTTTAAGAAAATTTGGAAGATGTGTGAGCGAACTGGGGCAATTTCAGTATAAAGTTCTTTCAATAACCTTGGGACAGTTGGTCGGGACCAGAGGCTTTTGCTTGGGCTTAAACCTTTGAGGAGTTTCTTTACTCCTTCCTCTGGAGTTTGGCATTTTTGGATGGTTTTGTGGAGTAAGCAATTGTTTACATGACTGGTTTAGACTTAATGGTTGGGGGCGGGAGAAGACAGACTCAAATTGTTTATTTAGTATGTCTGCCTTCATTTTAGGATCACTCTTTAAAGGTGCTACTCCACAGTTTTCTGTTTTGTTTGATTTGATGAAAGAGTAGAACTTCTTACTCTTTCCTGGTTGTGAATCATCAGAGAAAATGACCTTGTCTAAATACAACCAGTATGAGTTCCTTATTTCTTTTTGTATTTTACCCCTAAGCTTTTTTAATTTGCTAAGAAGGTCCAGGGAAGGGGTATTAGACTGCTTAATTTTTGAATACAGTCGATCACTTTTCCTTATTCGGCCAATGATGCGTTGATTTAACCAGGGTAGATCGTAAGTTAGACCGAAATACCGCATTCGTTCTGTGTATCCATACTATTGTGTTCGAGGTCCTTATCCGAAGACTTACGGAAAGGGCCGAAAAGTTGCGATTGGATTACGCTTACGTTACCCCACCCACTTGTGATAGTGACGAAAGTGCGTGGCCACTTGATTACTGGAAGACAAGTGGGCAAAGAAGTTTAAAATGATATATTTTAAAAATGTTGAAAAAAAAAAAATAAAATCTAAGAAATGTTCCAATTTTCATTTTTTTAATTACTGAATACTTGCTCACTGTTCTCGTATGTTAGTCCAGTGAAGAAATAATATGGCCTTTTATAACTTGTTTTAAAAACATATTCAGTATCAATAACTTCATATAACATCAAAAGGAATAGAAATTTATAGTTCAATATGTTTTGTTGTATATATAACAATGAATTTAGTAATATGAAATTAGGCAAAGCTTAAGAACGGGGAAGTCGGTTAAAATAATCATTCAGTTTTATTTTACATTTTCCGTTTTAAAAGTGCCATTCGGTATTATATACACTGCTCCCGTTTATTCTGGTCTCCTGTCCCATTATTGGCGTCCGCGCCGAAGCGCGGCGCCTTTTATGTAATGAAATCAGATTTTGTGAAAGGGCGACAGCAACTTCTCGAGCCTTTTATAGTTGTTCATAATAAAAGCCGATCATTCCGACTTTTTACCAAATATTTATTGAAATTTCCATGGAGGTAAATTATCACCATTTTGTGCTTCAAAATTAACTCTTTAAGGACATGACTGGTGACATGTCCGGGGTCCGTACTCGACAGCGCAAGCTGCATTTTGTGCCCGAAAGGGCGGATGGACCCTCATTAAGCTTTAACTTACATACATACGATCATTCCGATCGGTATGAGGGTGCTTGATTATTAACTAGTCGCGATATGTACAATGAATAGCGAACTGGAGAATTTCGCAATGCAAACATTTTCAAATTAAATAACCTTTTCCGTCAATAAATCGCGCTCTTCGGGATATTTATATCTATCATTTTGTAGTACACAGTGGGTTATTATGGTATGTTATTCCGAAAGCTGTAAATAGAATGATGAGTTGATGACCTAAATATTCCGAAAATCTATTTATAGAGGGATGTACTCCTGTAGGTAATTCCCGGTCTCTCCTGGTCTATTTTGACGACCGGCGAATAGTACCACACGTTTATTGTCCGGTATCTCCCGGTTTTGGAGTAGATGTTTGATATCGTTACAGAACAGAACACATATTTTACAGATAAATTAACTTTTTTTTCAAAATGAATGTTTGTCACTTAGTTTGATTACAATTATTAATAAACACAGATCAACTCTCAAATTTATTGATTATTATTATACTTAAACGTACAATTCGGAAGAAAAAAAACACAAATCGCATGTTTTAATTTATCTATATGAGATAAAAACAATAAATATTTACAATAATTGAGAAAAATGTACATTTTTATGGCATTAATATGACACTATCAACTTTGAAACATTTTATTTAATTTGTTATTCGTGTTAAGTAAAGATGCCGAGGAATTATTCAAAGCTACAAATCAGATTTTATGAATTATTCAATTGATTGATAATTTAAAAAATGATAAAGAAAAATACAAATGTACATGTATATGGTTTAAGAATAAACAATATTATATATTGAAAGATTAACAATATTTTACTGACTTTTTCCAGTTAAGTTTTGACCTATAATCGTCGGTCATTATGACAATTGAATTCTTAAAATTTATTTTACAATTTTAATAAAAAAAAGAGTAGTAAACGTAAAAACTCAATATTAAAATAGTGCATCAAACACTAAAAAGAAAAGAAAACAATATTCATAAAATCTGTATTTTTTATTAAAAAAAGATATTACAATTAGTGTATAATAAACATTTATGCTCAACATGATCAACATGGTAATATAACAAGTGTCATATTGTTACTAAGTGTGAACAGATACCTTAAGAGGGGGTCTTCGCTAATAGCGATAACATAATAAGGGACAATTACACAAGTGTGGTGTTGATCATGCGTTACTCATATGGATTATAAATGATTGTATACATGTATATCCGTTGCTATTAATAACCACGATCATAAAGAAAAAACAAGTAATACTTTAATTTCTAGCATGCCAATCAAAGTTATAGATAATGAACAATGTCTTTCGTTCGTTCATTCATAAGTGATATACCAATGAACCATTGAACAGTTTTAACTGTTTTTAAGAATATCTTGTCATCATATATCTACTAGTTCATCTACACCTGCTGCATTTCTTGCTTGGACGCCCTTTGATGCTTTGCATCAATGCTTTTCTTGTGGTCCCCTTAGAAGGACACAGAGAACCAGTCTACGCATCCGTTTTCAATCAGAATGTCTCGGCTTTTATGCTTATCTTGTTAGTCGAAAAGTTGCGACTGGCTATATTTGGAATACAACGCCGTTTATCATTGCGTAAATTTTACTGAAATGTTCGCTGATAGGTATAGAATTCTATAAATATTTTCTTCTTTTTTTGGCTTGCAGCTCATTTGGAAAACTTGTTCCGGTTAGGAGGTTTCCTGCTTACATCTGTTGGTGCATGATTGAACGGGAAACCAGC